GAAACTGAAATTTGGGGTCATTTGGGGTTATTGTCCGATTTTATTGCGTTTCTATGATTCCTGATTAGTTTTAGCCATCCTAATCGTCTTCAACATTCTACATATATGTCTCCCTACATTATTCGACTGCTTGTCGCGTCAAGACCAATATTTATACACTAGTTGCCGTTGAAAAACAGATTTTCTCCCAACATGCTCAGTGGTGCTGGGCCGGGGTCCACCAGTTGCTGACAGCAGTACTCTGGCTTCCCTTCAGAACGCATAAATCTTTCGCCTTTTACTAAAGATTTCCGTGGAGGGGAGCAACTCAATGAGTCTTTGAAAATTTGTTTGAGGCTTGCTTATGCGAGCCAAAAAATAATGGTTGTAATTCTTGTTTGCAGTAAACTCGGCTATGAGACTTGCGCATTGTACAGAGAGACGACGGCATACACTCATTTCCTACAGCTACGCTTTGTCTGCATTTATATATTGTTACATTCTCACATGAGGATGATAACCATCCCTAAACGTTTTATGTAAACATTGACATATGTTGTTGAAATTCGTGCAGAGTACCTTTCGTAAACTTGTTTTGCTGAAATTAGACATACGTAATGGACGAATTTCAGTTCAACCAGCCCTACATTTTATGGAAACATTGACATATATCGTCAAAATTCGCGCAGAGTACCTTCCGTAAACTTGTTTTGCTGAAATTGGACATACGTAATGGATGAATTTTTGTTCAAATTCTAGGAAGTGGTGAAAGAAGCGCCGCACGTCGTCACTCACCACTTGACGTCAGAGTGACAAGACAATTAATTAATCTACGATGGTGTTTTATAGAATTGTGTAGTGCGGCTAAAATCTTAGGTATTCAATTCTCTTAAGTGAGAATGAAATAATTTTTAATGCTGTGCTTATAGTTTGGAAGCGCATTTCACAACCTCTAATTATCTTTGGTCGAAACTGTTGATGGCGATCTCGATTCTAGCATGAAATGATTCACCAGCCACTGAAACTGAAACTTATGCTACCATTTCAGGAATCCTGATTTTTTTCTAGCTTTACTCTGGCTTCCCTTCAGAACGCATAAATCTTTCGCCTTTTACTAAAGATTTCCGTGGAGGGGAGCAACTCAATGAGTCTCTAATAATTTGTTTGAGGCTCGCTTATGCGAGCCAAAATTATATACATTGCAAAATGGAATAAGAAATTATCGGTTTTCTATCACCACCTCGACAAAATCCTTCTGTGTATGAATTTCCCGATAGTTGGTAAGATTTGCATGCAATCACGCAAACAAAAACAGCTTGCATGATGACTTTCGTGAGACCAGATATTGATTGTTTGTTTATTGTTTATTCGCATTAGTTCTACGTTCCTTTTGATAGCGCCAGCATAAAATGAATGCTTGACAAGACCGTTGTGTAGGGTAGATAAAGTTATCGAAAGAGTTACGGTTCAAATTTCACTAGACAAAAAAAAAAATAAACACTTTGATATAGCACCATGCCACAATCCACCCTGCACTAGACTAGTTTCCTTAATTGGAAGTGATGTTTGGTATTTGTATCAGAGCGCCAGAAAAAGATAAGTATATGTTCAGAATTAGCCTCTTCTACAAACGGCACTCTTGCGAATGCCTACGCTTATACGTTAGTTGCAATATACACGTAGATTAGTGTGGGCTCTTGTATAAATTTGTGGCTGCATCCTTATAAATGTGCGGATGCAATCCTTCAATTCATTCATGACGCATGACTGTTTCCTTCAGTTTACCCTTTCACGGGCAAGTTACCATATATGGTCACTTGAAATCTCCTCACAAAGAGACCCACCACGGTTTCTGATTTGTGTTTGCTTCCTTATCATGCCTCAGGCAATCACTAATTATCTGACCATCGTTCCATGCATAGCCGCACCATTGTGGGAGAGCTTCCTATTTATATATGCTACCCGTCAATATTGTGGACGCGATAGTGATAAGGAGAAACTTCTCAATAATATAGAGCTACATAGCTTTATTGGGAACTTTGAAAAACCTCAATCCTAGCTTGCCTATAGAGTACCATTAGTCCTTATACAGTGGGGGGAAAAAAATATTCGTACACTTGAAAAATTGTATTTTAATGTATGTAAGTACACAAACTTAACAGGAAAAGTGATTTAAATTATGTATAGAGACGCATAGTATTCAAAAATACTATCAAAAGAAATTAAATCTCAATGCAACAAAAAACAATGCAACATGTTCACTTTTCGGGTGAAATAAGTATTCGTACAAGACAATAAATCCGCATTATTTTAATTTAATACTTGGTTGAATACCCTTTATTCAGCTCAACAGATACCAGTCTATTTCTATACGTCTCGACCAATGATTTGCAGATGCTGACTGGTATTTTATACCATTCTTCTTGGCACACCACCTTAAGATTCTTCTGTTGAGCTGAATAAAGGGTATTCAACCAAGTATTAAATTAAAATAATGCGGATTTATTGTTTTGTACGAATACTTTTTTCACCCGAAAAGTGAACATGTTGCATTGTTTTTTGTTGCTTTGAGATTTAATTTCTTTTGATAGTATTTTTGAATACTATGCGTCTCTATACATAATTTAAATCACTTTTTCTGTTAAGTTTGTGTACTTACATACATTAAAATACGATTTTTCAAGTGTACGAATATTTATTTCCCCCCACTGTAGATAAGACATGCTATAGGGTATATATAGCATGGTGTACAACAAACAACAGTTGTACAACAAAAAGCCCTTATTGCCAGACACCTAAATCAAAATACATAAACACACGGATCACCCATTGCGAAACACTATACGAAAAGCAGGAATAACCATTTTTGTTACGAAGCCCAATACCACAGTTAAAAAATAAATCAGCACGTCAATTCGCGGCAAGCGAGAACTCCCAGATTACACGAACTATAGAGTTCCTCCTCAGGTGAAGTTTATTCGTTGCAAGTCTTCCATTACCGTGAGAATTTCAAGGAGCTTTACTCGAAGTGCTCTGAACCTTGGAGCTAGAAGGTAAATCTGATGTCCACTTGGAATATCCATTAAATACACAAAGTAGGTTTAATATTATAATCAAGCTAAGCTCATCCACAAAATTACAGTCGATCGAAGGACTTATGCCAGTATTTGTCCTATGCATTTCCTTATGTTGGAAATTGTGCAAATCAACAGAATAGAATTTAAAGTACGGTCATCGTCAGGTCATGTACCATATCACAAGATACAAACGCCTACCCGCCATTAAAAGAGATCATGAAGGTCATTGCTGCCGTAATCTAATAACCATAGGAACGATTTTCAGCATTGCTTATTAATAAAATTACTGAATAATTTCCCAAAATTCACGCTACATGAGATTGCAGTCACCCCCAACGCTGATCATTAAAAAGACCCAGTACGAATACAGCGCATCCTACTCGTTACCAGCGTGAACCTGGACAAACAAAAGACGGACGAATAGCGCTGCTGTCGCACCACCTATACCATGCCAAAAAATTAAACTACTCGGACGAAAAAAATGACTGATTTCCGCATTTTTAAAAGGCGGAAGTATCAATATATATGCAATTATTTAAGGTAACTTGATTGAATTGAAGTAAATTCTTATATTATTAATTTTTTCATCTGCCCAAACTAAATTTTAATTTGAAATAAAATATTTCGTGTAGTGACTGCATTTAATAATTCTTCAAGTGCGATTTTAACCTCCAATAATTAAATTTCTGGATATTTCAATGCTCGCCCGCGAAAGCGTTAATTGCAGCTAATATTATTACCAGGGACAACAATTTAGCGACCTGTACGTAGAGATGCAAGATGGATCTCAGCATCGTGCCTTCCAATGCTAGCATCGAAAAAAATTCGATATGCTTCACCATATTATTGGTCATCGAACTAGCAATTTTTTCTTGCGTGGAGAGCAAAAATTTTCTTTACCTAAGAAACTTTGAAAATCGTGCTGCATGTGTAATTACAGAAATTTGTGCGTGTGAGTTTTTGATTACATACTTGCTAAATTTCGATGAAAGTGTACGAATTTTTCATTGCAAGTCTCGAATTTTTTGCATGGTGCTCGCGTTGCACAGTAAACTTCTTTTCGAATTTCTAATATGGTATAATTGACACGCTAACCATTTTAATCGTGTCACCTTGACTTCGTGTCGAGGCTGAAGCGTTGCAAAGTTATGGGGATCAATAAGTACACGTCACGGTAGTTTATTATCTTATTTAATGAAAATAATATTTAATCATATTATTCATCGAAGGCTTATGATATATAACATGATGATTTACACTATATACACTAGACAGATGCTCAAGTTTGGTATTCTCCCTTAGTCAATTTCTTTTTTCAAACAGCTTTAACTTTTATTTTAACGTGGTTGTCGAAATAATCACAGCCGATTTGTGTTCAAGTTACAATCATGTCGGTAAACCTAAGGGGTGGTGTGAAGATTTAATTTGTATATTCAAGTGCATGTGTTTGATTTTCAGTCAACACAATTTACAGATTATCATTGTTGAAAAAGTACAAACTAGGAGACAGAAAATTAGTCCATTTTGTTACAATTTCCAAGGCTATTTTCTTTTTATATTTTTCGAAGTGACGTCAAATAGCGCTGGCGAATTGGGAAAAGTCATCACCTCTCATGGTTAGACAGTTTTTGTCTCCTCTATCTAAAGTAAAAAAATAGAATTAACATACATTTCTAGCCATTGAAAAGTCTCATTGTAGAAGAGTTAATGGAGTAAAATAGTTTCAGGATTGTTGGACAATATTTCACTTATCCAGGCGTTTGTAGCTATCAAAATTATTTGCTATAATATGTTAGAAATTTCTGTTCAACTCGGTTCAGTTAACATGAAGGTGTGAAGATGCAGGACGCGCGAATCACGTATCAATCGTCAGTTATGGAAAGATCGGGTTCCAAAGGCCGGATCCCTTGTGAATCAAGTCATGAAAAGTACAAGAATCGGCAACAGGCCATGGGTCTATTTCTTCAGTGCCGACACTTCTATTCTATTCTATCACAAGAAGAGAGTGTCGAGAACCTGCGCGGTGAGGGTTCGGTGCTGCTGCGTGGGCGGCGGTAGTTGAGGCTGCTGGAACAGCCGCTCGTTCAGAGGGTAGAGGTATGGTGCAGCCTGGCAGTCTGAGTTGTACCACCAATCGCAGACCTGCCGTTAGGTTGTTGTTTTAAATGCATAAATGTAAATTTGTTCAAGAATGGAAGCGAAATAGCCATGAACAAATGAAAGCAATTTTATTTGTAACAAACAAAAATTTGAGTCATTTGGACACGCAATGAAAATGCTCATGTGAACACGGCTGGAAGACACTTCTCAATGTACTGTCAAGCTGAAGAAATCTTTCAAAGAATCAAAACACATTCTTAGACGGAAAGACGAAATTAAAACGGCAAAGAATTATACTGGTTAGAATTATACTTTTCACGAGTGTCGATGGATGCACGTGTATGAGCATGAAGATGATCAGTTTTGGTAATTTTTATTGTAAAACTTGTATATTATTGTTTTATTCATTAGCGATTTCGCTACAGAAAACGGCTGCCTTAATAAAGCACCTAGAGCGTAAGCAACGTAAAGCCTTGCATACGAATGACTTTTCTGAAGCCTGAAAGCATGTTGGCAAAAATTTTGAGGCATAACTTGATGTGGCTGCTCAATTTCTTCTTTTAACGTACGGTCTTCTATGCTATATTCTGTGCCATTTCTTACCATGAATGCCTGGTTAAAGATGGTGCCGTTGGGACACAAAAAGCTGGCTTGCCGTCCGTCCAGGTCACACATATGCCACGCCTGCCATTGAAGAAATGTGTTTAAAAAATGGTTCAGTAGAGTCGGTACAGACTATTTGAAATCTATGAAGTCTAAACGTGTCAAACTGATTCTAGTGAGAAGTTGAGTTCATTGGTCTCTGATCCATCAAAATTGAACATGCCTATTTTGCATTGTGTTTGTTATGTTTAACCATTTTAAGCAAATTTTTTGCATTCAGTAAATAGAGGGCTTGCGGTTGTCGTCGACATGTCACTATAGTACTGTCGGAACGGCTCTGTTTTGTACTGTTGGGCGTACAAATTCTCAATGCATTATTAATCCACCATTTAATCATTCAATATCGTAGTTTTAATGAAAACGAAATTTATCTGTTGGTCTCGATAATATTTTGCCTGAAGATGTCATATTTACGATCAACTTTGTGCATCAGTTTTTAGTTCTTTTATTGAATGTCGTCTAAATTTTGAGGTATGGACTGTTGGGCGTTCTTGTGGCGATTGCGGTGGTCAGGGGCGAGCATGTAAGCACTTTAAAGGTCGTGCCGAAGCCCGTCGCATACCCGGCTAATTTTGACCTTGATCAGGAATTGGATCATGATTTTTTTGTTTCTCAGTCTGTGACTCAATACAATACATTTGTTGTGTTTCTCAGCGTGTGACTCAATTTCACTATGTCTAGTTTGAATGAAAAAAACCTTAATCATCATCAATATTGATGATGCATTTTGATATCCTGATATCCGCTGCGAACATTTTTGATAGTCACTGTAACAATTTGAATATCCACGGTTTGATACCCACTGATATATTTTTGATATCCCCTGTTACAGTTTCGATATCCTCTGTTACAGTTTCTATATCCTCTACGGCAGTTGGAATGAGTGGGCTACGAAGCAAATGTTTTAGCAGAGTGGGCTATATGAAGGCAATGCGCGATCGCTGTTATCGCGCACACGTAAATGTTAGGTCACTGGAGCGGTGCTGTCTCTTTTTTGCCATCGCTAGCCCTTAGGTATAGCGATGCACACCGATGGATTTTTGCATAATCACTTGGCATTACTGCCGCACAATACGCTATTTTCACACTAAACATTTTCCTGTTATATGCCTTCTTGCTTCACTGGTAATTAATTGCTATCTCATTTTCCTCATTCTAATTTTAGTTACAGTTGCAGTCATTGATGGTCTATATGCATCCGATTTTCATTTTAGCGTTGATATATAATTTATATATTTTTTTATACATGAAAGGCTTCTTCTCTCAGGAGCAAAGTAATTATCATCTGAGGAAAAATATTATGAAATATACAAGATGGGCGTACATTGTTTTAGTTATTGGCTATAACTTCATCATAGCCTTGATTATTTATTTAAATATTGTATTTCTAAATAAAAATGAGATTTTGATATTTTCATATAACGTCCTTTTCTCACCTGACACCTTGCCTCAGTGTCGGCATAGAATCCAGGCCAGGGCATGTTGGTGCAGTAAAAGTTTGTGTAGGGTACTGTGCTCATGATGGGGTAGTCGAGACCTGGCACTCCTGGTATGGTCTCAGTGAGGGGCGCGAGGTACATGAGCCGGGGTACCAGGTAGCTGTACAGACTTGCCTTCAGTACTGGAGGTAGAGCAGGGGGAAGGATCCCAGCAGATCTGTGCAATAGAAACAATAAGTAAATATTACGTGTTGTCAACACTGCTTTTCACGAGTATTAACGGAGATTTGTGATAAATAACTTATGTCGTTTCGGTGCACAGTGAGAGGCATTTAGACGAAATATGAACTTCTTACGGATCATTTCCGTCGCTGAACGGTCCAAATTCGCTGCCTCTCCTCGTTCCGTCGAGTGCACTTAGAATGCCTTCCTTGGACTCTGAAGTTCTATTCTTACTTCCCCCAGGGAACAAGTCAACAGAAATACCATCTCTTGGAGTGGTCGAATCTGTGCCTAAGTCGCCCGCTGAGAATATCAACGGCGATTCCAAAGAAGACGTTGCTCGGTCGTGGAGTTGTTCCTGAATAGAGTCGGCAACGCTTGGATTTATTTCTATTTCTTTGGCGTGTGAACCTTGATGTGCCTGGGCCACCGGCGGGGTGGACCCTGCAAGGATCGGCAGGCCTAAGTCTGTTCCCCTCTGGCTCAACCTGCCTGTGAGGTCACCTCCTCGACGGCGACTTGATATCAGCAAACCTGGGATGTCGTCGTTTACTTTTCTGAAAAGAGAAGCATCAAATTATTTTAAAGCATATGTAAAAAATACGTCTGTAAAGTTGGTTATAGATTCAGAATGGTGGAATTGTTTCCTCGCCCGCGTGTAACAAATTAAATCATACACCAACTATCAAGGCTACAATTTGGTATATTGGTAGAGTTTAGATTGTACACATCAGCTTAACTCACAAACCAGGAGGTACTTACGAATTGGTTGTTTTACCTTAGAAACTGTCACAGGAAATTCCTACTAATTCCTGCTATTGGTGCTCCGTGTGTGATAAATTATTCAGTGGTATATTTATTATTGCGTGAATTTCTTTGATTCAAAGTCTGGAATGAAGTATTTGATGACATATTTTTTTTATTGCCATTTCAGCTTCGCCTCCACTATATGAGGATGAACACGCAAGCTAGGAGACAGGATGAAGCAACGCGTAATCCTGCTTTTTAACTTTTACACTGAACGGATAAAGCCACCATGATCTAGTAAAATGTGCCAGTAAGTGGTAATGATGAACACGAATCTATGTAATGGTGGTGATGCTTGAATTTAACGCTACCCAAAATATGAAGCTCCTTTATTGGAGCCAAACAATTTGTTATTTGTTTGCTTGAGATTTTTATCGCATGGTCTCTTATTCATTGAAGTTGCCAGTCATCGAGTAAGTAAATCAAAGCAGCAGTAAACGCTTGCATCTATCTACCTGACGAATCACCTGATCTTTGTATGTGGCTTGTTAAGAGCGATGAGGGCAAAAAAATCCACCAGTATTGATGGATCGTAAGTGTTACGAGCTCCAGGACCCAGGCGCTTCTCCAGCAGCCGGGCGATGTTCTCAAGGGAACCTGTCAGAGAAACGTATTAACCAAGGTATACATGCAATAGCGTGGCATACAATATTAAAAACACATTATGAAATGAGAAAAATCAATATATTTATTGTTATCAATTGTTGATGTCATGTTCCGTTGTCTTCTTAAATTTGACAATGCGTTAAATTTACTTACTTGAATTTGTGTCTATATTTTCGGTTAACAGTTTAGTATCTTGGTTTATAGTCGAACGAATATTCGACGCTAAAAATGGCGTGGGTATTTTCTCAAGTTTTCCCGATGTAGTCGATCCCCGGCTTTCACCGGCTGATCTCTGTTCTTTAAGCACGATGCCCTGAAATCTGTGAACATTTCCTCGCTCAGTTCCTGGCAAATGTGCTGACGAACTCTCATCTTCTGGTGCTTCTTCAGTGAGTAAATCTTCCTCTGATATGTAGTGTCCTTCCTGCGCTCCCGGTAGAAGAGACCTGAACTCCAAGTAGCGCTGCTTCATGATCTGCGCTTTATAGGTTCGGTTCAGTCGTTCACTGTGGCTTGATCTCGCTCCCACTCCGCTCAGTTGTAACGTGGCAGGGACCACTTGTCTCTTACCCAGCGGTGTTATCTTGGTGACTTTCCTCAGCAGTCTTGGTCTTCTATTGGACCTTGTTTCTTTAGGTGATGAATTCGACTGTGAATAATTTTTCCTGCCCCGGGTGATTTTTCTCTTAGTCCTGGAATTATCTTGACCGTTTTTGGAGGATGCACGGACACTGTCAATACGTCGTAAGTCAATACTTAATTTGGGTTGTGGTAGAAGTTTAGCTTTTTCAATTGGCGAGAGCTGTTGGGGGACGTTATTCGCCATTAATTTAGAAGATTGGAATTCTGTGAAGTCCATTCCTTGAGCGCTATCTGCAACAGTACGAGAGAACTTTAATCAAAATTTGAATAAAAAAAAATCAATCGACAGAATTGCATTTATATACGCAAAGTACATAAAAAAATCATATTTTCACTGCGATTGAAGGACTCGGTTATCTGCCTCCTAATCTGTTCTGGCCGGTTGTTGAACGTCATGAGTTGTGGTAGCTCGGTCAAGGCTGGTTTCTGTCTCTAAAATAATTTTTTGATATCGATGTACGGTCGCTACCAATTTTTTTCTGCAAAGTTATCTTTGCGTAACACCAAAGGTGAAATTAAAATATTTTTGAGCTCATCTTTAATAAGACAAATGAAAATTATTAACCATGCACTTGTATAATATATATTAACAAACTGTTCACTTCTGTCCCTAAGATATTAGTTATTTTCTCGTATTTTACAACGGTACAAACAACGTGCATTAAAGCTGAAGTAGAAATTAAGTTTATGAGCGCCTATCAACATCGGTCGATGCTCTCAAAACCATTAAGATAACATCGGTATACGCTAGCTGACTTGAGCACCTATGAGTTAATTTGCTCGTCAAATAGGAACACTGAATTGAGCGACTACAACTTTAGATGCCCTTTAATTAAATTTAGATTTACATAGAATGGATTGATTACTCCTAAGTTTTGCGAGTCGTGAAATTGTCGCTCAAATCCAGTTCAGTCCAGTCCACTGTCATATACTTGTAAGTGGGCAATTGTCTTCTGGTGTTGTCAGTTTGTTTCTTAGCGATGGCAAACTCAAATTTTCCATTGATTTCTTTCGAGATTTTATCATCACTAAAAATTCGTCTTGAATATTATTTTAGGGCAAGCTATTTTAATAAATTTGTATTTCCTAGTCTAATGGAATTAAATTATGTCGGGTGACAAATTTGCCTACCTTTCTCTCACAATGTACGAACAATTTGTATGTTTTGTACAATCACTGAATATTAAATTCAATTTTCACTAGATAGCGATCTACGAAATTTCAATGGTGTCTTGTAACATCTGCTGAGCAGCGACTCATGTCGGTTCTGTACCTCGAACCATGTACGGACCAACGCGTGCACGTTGAGTAGTGATAAATTTACGGGGAGCGTGGCACGGGCATTGCGCGTGTCCATCATTGCAAGTGGCCACCATAACTATGACTGTGGAAGAGGTCAAGCTGATCCAAAAACTGGTCTGCTCTGAAGAACAAGGTCACTCTTTCAGACCGCACCCTGCATGCACCTTGCGCGTCTGTGCTTATATCGCCACATGCCATTTGAGCGAGCGAACGGGCTCATGCTACGGCAGCCTGTCTTATATCATCCTCCTTATAAGGGATTCTCGCGTATAAGCGTAATAGGTCTTACAGGCAATTTCTCGCTCGTGTCCATTTTTCGTTTCAGTCGTTCGTGTGTTCATAATCTATACCTGTCGTCCTACATGAAAAGATTTCCTAAACGCTCATGCACTTCTTTTTCTCTATTCGAGCAATTCAAATTTAAATCTGGTCTTCGTTTCTTGCTTCAGTATAAGATGTAAACTCGGCCTTATGCTGGCTGTAATTACTTTACGCCTTGATTGTTTCACTCGAGTACGTAACTTATTTTTCATGAATTTTGGGGGCGTTTCTATATTGTAGTAAGGCTTTGAAATATTTGACTTTCAATTCCATTCTATTGAAACATTTAATATCTTGCTTGTCCGAATTTTTTTGAGACACGAGTTCAAGATGCACGAATAATGTAATGGTAATAGGTACATTGCAAGCATTGCGTTAAGTTTCCCTTTTTAGTTTACGTACAATTTCAATTATGGTCCGTTCAAACATGATCGCATTCTAGCTAGGTAGCCTCATCAGCGCAAGTTTGCTCTGTAGGCTTGTGGAAGTGAGGTCACCCGGCCGGGTGTTTAGCTCGTGCGTGGTCAGCTGCTTGCCAGCTTATCGGCCTTCGCGGTTCTTTCGACTACCTTGTCCTTGTGCTTCTTATATTCGCCAGTGAAATTGAAGGTGACAATTTCATTCGGCGCCTGTATGTGATAGCTGTAGTTAAGTAATAACGGTTTTATGTCCGTGGCAGCGGACATATTTATTTTCGCATGATGTGTTCTGCGTTAAAATTTACAGGCTTTACAGAAGAGAGAATTTTTGATTATCTTGGGCGTTTCTACATAAAATGACTTGTGGATAAGTGGTGTAGATGTGTGATGCAAAATAAAGCCGAGCTTTCCAAAATTTAATGCGAATTGGTTTTCATGTTTGTCCGTTTAACATTTGTTGTCATATCATCACTTCTATGCGGTTGTAATAAACCGCGTTTGAATGGATCTAAATTGTCACCTTGTGTTCTACATAGTTGAGCCATGCGAACTGTTGTTAATAGAACAGGCTATAAATTTCTTTGAGGCACTCTTCCTGTGCGACTCATTGCCTATTTATTTTGTGCGCTTTACTCCAGTGCGCTGTTTATGACTCTTATTTATCTCAACATCAGATATTAAACGCCTAAACTCAGAGCCGTGCTGAGTTAATTTTTATGATTTTCACGCATCACCTTTGTATGTAAGAGAAAGAAACATGACTGTCTTTCGGTATATATATATTTTTCATAGCTTGCTTTAAAAGCACTTGATTGTTCATTATCCTCTAGTATTTAATTATTTGAAACAATTTTTTTTGCGCACTATGCATTCCTTTGTATTCAAACTATTCAATTTTTTGCAAGAATTTAAACAAATCCTGGATGTCTTCTAATAATTTACCGAGAAAGTTCTAATGTTGCTTCAGCATTTGGGTCGCGGTTTGATCTTTGAAATATGCAAGGACTTGACCTAAAATACGCAAAGGCACGGAAGTATAATAAATTTTTCTTGAAAAAAAAAAAAACGAAACTCCAGCGGCCACGAAATCGTGTAAGTGCAGGAAAAATGTCACTGTCTTCTGGAGATTTTTTTTATTCATTCTGCTCGATGCTTGACACTGCAGTCCAGTCTTCGCTTTTTTACTGATGATTTATATTGTATTTGGCCTTTTTTCATTTGGCTACAAATCATCTTTTTTCCGCTATATATTCTTGCAATGAAAGTGATAATTGATGCGAACAATAAATTCTACATCATTGACTATAACAGAAAAATCGTTGTAATAAATTTCTAGCTCAAAGAAAAAGAGGCTCGGTATTCTATAAGTCCCACAGATGATGTATATCAACTTCGCTTACGTCGGTCATTTATCGGTTAACGATGTCTTTGCATGCATGGTTCAAATCACGTGCGAGCTGATTTCGATCTCGCCGTTTAATCTCTCCCTCTTTTCAAGATAGTTTAATAAACCCTCTATCACTCGACCTCAACGTCTCATTACTTCACGATCTATCGCTTCTTAACACTTCACTAATGCTAATGATCGCCGTTTTTTTCTCTGGCCTGCAAAACTGTTGCGCTTCAGTGGATTCCGTGAGTTAGAAAATGTTATTCGTGATGGCCTAATCCAAGCACACGCGAGGCTGCGCTCCACAATGAGAACCGCTTGCGCTTGGTGCAAAAGTCAAGTTGATTATAATCGCTTGACCACATTGTGATTTGTTTGGATGATCTTCGAATATTTTATTTGGCATTATTGGCAAAAACTATCATATAATGTATCATACAAGTCTTCGCATTTCTCTGCTTAGGTCTTCAGTTTATTTTGTCGGTAAAACCGACTAATTTGAAAGAATATTACTTTTCTGCCATTTTTTGTTGTGCTCGTGAGTTTGTATAGCTATATGAAATTTGCCCCCTCAAAATATATTATTCTATAGCATCGTCAGTAACATAGACAGTATTGACACAGACAGTATCACACAGACAGATAAATAGACCGCATTATCGGTACCTTCGGACGACATGTCGCTCGTTGACTGTGCCGAGTTTGTCATGGAGGGCAAATCGCTCAATTTGTTGGAGAGCGATTAAATTCTTGTACAGATGGATATTGATGTTGAGTCATGTATCTCTATTTTCATGCCCTTATTTTTAATAGACTTGATCCAAGTTGCACTGTTGCAGTGCAAATTTGCTATAAAATTGCCATGCTATGTGTTTATAATTCAGTATAACATAGCAGGTTAGCCTATCGTTTCTTGTGGTCGATAAGCTTTGCAATTTTTGCTTCCTGTTATATCGAATCTCATTCTAGTTCCTAATCACGTTAACAGTGAACCCTATGTATGCTAATTAGAGAAAAATCCGTTTTACATGGAACATAGAACTCTCATTCGACTCTCGATTCAATGTCTGAAAAAACCCTTTTGTGTTTTTTTGAATTTAAATTAACAGTATGAATTTTACGTTTCAATTTCAATTTTTTGTCAATTCTTTCGACACAATTTTGCAATTTCTTATTTTGGGCTCACTTGGAATGAATTTTTAGCTCGTGGTAACCTCCGTGCACGATAAATATAGTTGATACGCTCTCGGAACGAACCCTATGTATTTATGTACGATCCCAGCCAGGAAACACACGTACAATGAACTTTGATATATATTTCTTATAAGACAACTTAGTCTGCGACCTGACTCTGATATGTACCTGCATTGTACGGTATCATGCAGAGCTACTGACCCGGATGTGCTATTATATGTTTTTCAAGGGGCTAATATTGAGTAACAAAATAAATTCTCCCCGCTTCCTGGCCTTTCTATTACTAGTTGGTGTCTCGCGACCGTAAGGTCTTATCGCGTCATCACCTTGATCCAGTTGAGTTTGTACCCGACCACGCCCGATCTCTCAGCCCTGCATGCATCTTTTTAGGCTCTGACACTTGAACAATTTACATTCTCTAGAAGTCGCTGAATTTTAATGCGTCATACGTTGACCTAAGCCATCCCCAAAAAATCACCCGTTATCCAATTATTGGGATTGCAGCAACCTGGCCTCTGGAGCTTTCATCCCCCGCCGACAGCGTTAGTCCAATATTAAGACAAGACTTCTCGCATGGCGAGAATAAGTGAAAGACTTCGTAGGAAGCACTTTTAGTTCGTTGATTCATACATTACTGATTAAATCTAATTCATGACAATCTCTAATTGGCTGGAATTTATTATTTTCAAAAGAATGATTCAAATGAAACTCCAATTGAGTTGTGCATGCTTGAAGTGTGGAATTTGCTGAAAGCACTGCATGGAATAGTGAATGTGATGTTTTTGTCATGGTGTTCGACTGGGGCCTCCGGCCGTTACTCGGCTAATTGTACGTCCTGACTTTTTTTATGAAAACTTATGACGGATGCAAGACGCGACTGAAGGAAGTATGCAGTTATCTCGTGTAAAATTGATAATTATCTATGCAACAGATTACATGCAGTCTGTTGCAAATCATTTCCTGGGTAGCAGTGATGTTGTTTTAGACGAGTCTTTGCATGTATTAGATGCGTTGAATTCGATTCGGTGTATTGAGTGAGAAGTTGGAAAATTCATCATCATGCATGGCAATAAGAGTAAAATCTAAAATGATGATGAAAATCTAAAGAGATCTGTTGTTTTTTTTTAAACGAAATTATAAGTGATTTCTCCGAAGGTCTCAAAAAGTGGGATTTGATTGGTAAAACTGGAATTGATTCTTATTTGCTTACATGCCTATTGCCTGAGGATGAAATTTGAGCCGAGTCTACCTACTCAGGGCCGTGTTGTTATAACTTGATAATATGACTCGTATTGATTTTTTGCGTGGCCAATATCCTCTATGAAAGAAGAGTTCATGCGAATGCTGGAAGATCGGCTCAAGGCTCTGTATATTTCGAGTCTAGAGAAAGATATGTGGGGCTGTTTTTCATCTCTGGTTATGTAGAACACTGTCATGTAATTAAACTCCTGTCAGATTAACTGAATACTTGTTCCTGATCCGTGTGTTTAGCATCTTTAAATTTGGCTACTTCAGTGTATAAGATGGTATATACCATTATGTTGTAGGTGAAATCATTGCGTCAAAAGTTAATTTGCATTCAGGGGGCTATTTGAAGGTAAGGTATGAATCAGAAATTGCCAAAAATATTTGGCACTTTCGTAACAAATATTCTTCGAAATACTTGTTACGCATGCGCGGGTGAAATATGCAAACATTCAGCTTGAAGAGCTTCTGGCAAGCTGATCAACAGTCTTGTTCTTATCATGTGAGCGTCGTTAATTAAGGCGTTTATTTTTTATCAAATGTGCGTCGTTAAAGCGCTTATTTTAATCGTTGCTTGCACGGACCGCGCCCTTAATTGTGCTGAAAGTTGCATCACCTCCGGATGGACTACGCAGGAGCTTCCTAGACAGCAGTTCACTGCTCGATATTATACGTGTTCCTGCCTTGGCAACGCCTCGTAATCCAGTCCTCGTCCATGAAAGTGAATACCCTCCACTGCACTAAGGAAGCTCGGCACACACGAAAGACCTTGAACTTCTGGACCTTGTTTCATGGGAGTTTTATTTCACCTTTTTCGTTCTTGGCTTAATCAGCTTTTGGCCGTAAAATTTATAACTTGGCGAATTCTAAGTCCGTGTCCTCACCACACCTCAGCAAGTTAATCCATCTGTGTATCAGATTTATCTAACGAGAACGTTCGTAGCCGCAGTGAGGTCGACCAAAATATTGTTCAGAATGACGGGATTTCTTTCCTGACGTATTTTTTGCATGCAGTTTATAAATGTATAAATGTATTTGCTTCAAGAGTCTTCGTTGATAATTTAAGTTTTCATGTGTCCTTAATAACTATTATTTGCTTGTGTCCTCCCGGCGATAAGGTGTACTATCTTGGATGCCTTAGACAACGTAACGAATCGAATTATAATATTTCAGTTATGGCTGGCTTCCGTTATTTGGCTCCATAGTTGCGTTAAAAGAATCGACGACTCGCATCGAGCGGTGGTCTGTCCGGTCGATCACTTCCTATATTACTGCCCCTGCTCTCTGGTTTACTGCCATGTGCCATAACAACTTGCTCTCCATTTCCTTATGTGTTCCTTCAGTGTAGGTACTCGAGTCAGCAATTAAAGAAATTATTTCTTCAATGTAAAATGTTGGATTAAATAATTAATTGCTCGCGTGAGAAGATATTTAACTCATTGTATCCTATACTGACGTAGGTATCCGAATATTTTTTATTGATTATAAATTTTGAGACATCGCGCTTTCGAAAGAGACGAAGAAAAGCTTGGTATATAATGTTCGCGATGCCAATAATGCAATTCCAAAATTTGAAATCATTGTTTACTTAGTCGTTCACCGTGTTTTTTGTTGAAAGACTAAAAATATACATTTTTCATTACTTTATATTTCCCCGTCTCACGCTAACGCAAGTTTTATATCGCCTGAAAACACGTATATTATATAAAACACGCAAAAATTAATAAACGTTGATCGGCGTGTGGAATCTTTGCTCCCGTTGCACTGAAAGAAACGTAAGTTCTGACTCCTCAAATATAATCGGATGCTCTTCAGCCTACACTCAAAGTTTCCATGATAATTCTCTATGTGCGTTAGAGGGACATGTACTAATGAGAAAATTATAGTTTAAAGTCTTCTTGTACCCTGAGAAACTCATGACCGAGCTGCCTTTAATAACTGAATGATATTCAGAGGTAACTGATCAGTGAATATGGAGACATTATTTTGAATAGGAAATAATGATAATAATGAAATCTAAGTTCTCGCAGAATTTTCGCTCAACCTCCACTAACATTTAGTGAAGAAGCGTAAATTTCACGTTTTATTATTTTATTTAATTGACAAGGTTTGGACAGCACTGGTATTTTCATCGAGAACTTTAACGTTGTATTGTTTTCATCTTCGAATTATCAGCAAATATAAGCAAAGTCTTGCAACAATTCAAATAAAGTGCGTATTGAGACGATCACGGTCAGAATTATCGAAAGATGTCCTTGCATTACCATGAATGAATTATGATTGACGAATACTGAGATTACATGCTGAAAGGAGGAGATTAGTATCACTTCAGTACGCTCACCTTGACCATGGCTGGATACAACCATGGAGATCACGAGGAGTTGTAAGAGCAGCAAAAGCTGCAGTGTCAAGAGTAACTGTAACCTCTTCATGATGTGCCGAAATATCTGTGTTGGATTTTTAGCATTGCTCCTACTTTAGCATGTCTTGGCCTTATGCATGCTTCTGTATCCTTCTGGTGATGTCATAACTTGCATTCATGAGCTCTGCACATGCCGTACTTGGCTTTCAGTATCAACGCTCGCTCATTCCATGCGCACACCACATACGTTATACCGGACGAGAGAGGATCCGTTTTTGGGTTCCTGCGCGCTTCACTGTTTAACTAAGGCAATCTCTCTGTTCCCTGTTGACTCGATTTTCATAAGTAGCAGGAGATAATATCTGATCAGGAAATGAGAAGTAATTATAAAATTATTACCCCTATTTGTTAAATTAATACCTTAGAAGGACTAAAGAATGTGCGATATAAATTATTTAAACCGTGGCTAGTTGTCCTCTTGTCAACGTGATAAGACAGCTGTCACGCCCTGAAGCTGGAATTAGTTGGGGAAAACTTCTATTACAATGGCTCTCACTCCTAAGTATCTGAATGTTTTTTTTTAATTCGTCACGCCACAGGAAGAAAAAGGATCTTCATTTATTGGAAAATTTCACTGAGCTTGAGCGAGATGACTTTTTACCTGCAAATTTGATTTACTAAACTGGATCGATCGACTGGTTTCGATAAATACCCGAAATAAACAACACATTTTCTACAAATATTGTGGTTTTGTTCTCGTTAGCGTAATTTTGAAGACTTTAACTAGGCCTTGGTTGATAGTAGTTATGTTATTTTCTTAAAAATTCACTATTACAATCTTGGGACGACTATCTTAAGACTAAGAAAAATATCTTGCTTGCTTTTCTGAAGTAGAAAATGTCAGTCAAAAGCACTGTGAATTTCCTGATGCTTTTCACGGACGAAATTGCTCCACATTATGCTGAGAATAGCTTGTAATGACTAGCGAGTGATGACATTAGCGGCGTCGAGGGCGGGCAGCGCTTTGAAGACATCGTGACTGTGATCATTATTCGACCCCCGATCCTATCACCGATTGCCCATCCAACGCTGAGACGCGATGTTCATTTTCATGCCCTGCATTACACGCGTATTGTATTATCGAGTTGTCTGCGCACTTGCTTGAAATTTTCTCTATTCCAAAAGTTAATGTTTCATTAACTTTTGCAGCAAGTTAGGCTTGCTGTGACATTCGTTTTCTCTAAGGAGCAAGCGAAGTGAAAAATCGAAGAATGCATTCTTGCAGAATAAACTATACGTTTAGGTGTGGAAAGAGCGCTCTGAAAACTCTTTCAAAGAGTCGTCTGTCGAATTATTTTTGTGATAAATTTGAACCGTGCACTGTATCTATGTACATACATTGAAATAAAAGACTAATTTTGAACACTTTTTGTTCATAATCAAGTATGCAAGGCCTCTGAATGGCAAGTATATCCTGTGATATCCTCATGAAGCATCTCTACACTGACCTCTATTGTGCTTTATATCACTATCATGAGATAAACTGATGAGCTGAAGAGTTTTTCTTGCGATTGATCTGTCTTCAAAATGATCCCGCTAATGAATTATCGTTCTAAAAAATGACAAACAATTGATCATTCATTCAATGTAAACAACTGACGTGACCATTCAACGCTGAATTTTCTTATCCACTTATTCACTGATTCATCTCTTGACTGCGACTTGTCCACTGCCTTTTATAATTGTCTTGCTTGGCTCCAGTAATGAAATCGCATCAAGGATCACTGATCTTGAATCTCTCCCTGAGTGCCACCTGACACTTACTGTATCATTACGCAGCCGCACTCGATGACTCAATTAACCGCTATTCAATTTATTTTCAATGACAAATAAATTGACTTCCTCAGGGCTTCTTGCTTTCACCAGACAATGCACACATCCATGTATACACTCAACATTAACACTTCTTGGACATCAGGAGAAAAATATAATTAAGAACGGTGTTCACCCCGCTATGAATAATGATGTACAGACTTTCACATGTTTTATTGAGTGCTGGTATTTGTTCATTTATTATATTATTTGTTTACAACTTTTACCCTCGCTCTGATCAAAATTTCTGCCACTTTGGTCGTAAAACAATGTCATTAGAATTGGTTTCACAATTTGACCACACTCGCAATTGCTTAAGAAAAGATACGAACATTCGTCCGAAAATACTGTTGTGATCTGTTGTGAAAGTTCAGGACTCGAATCCCATTTTCATGGAATAATTTTTATAATTAGTAGTATTTTGCAGATACTTAATTCAAGATTCTCTTGTTAAATTTAATTCAGATATTGCCTTAAGATTTTCACTCTTTTATGAGCTCCGAATGAGTACCGTTATTCTTAGCTTTGTCTTTTTTTCAATTGTCAGCATTATGTTTACATACAACGAACTCACTACTTGGTACTATAATATAGACTATTGATTGAAATTAATATGGAACAACAGTCATGGGATATTTTTTGACAAATATTTATTTGTAAAATATTTTTCGGCACTACATAATACACTCAGAAGTAACAACGAATAAGTCACTTCTCGCGTCGATCGTTCTCCTGCACAGCACAGCACTGAAATTTTACATTCGGATTTTGACCGCAATTTCTGAGACGTCCTTAGTTAAGATTGCGAGTATGGACGCTTTACTGCCACCCTTGCTCCTACACTGCGCGCTGCTTCTTGACTGACTGAATGGTGCACCTAACATGGCTGCTCTCGATCGCCTGGGCTCTGCGCGCCGCCCATGAATATTGCCTTCCGGCCCGCTTGCTTCATCTGGACGCCGAAAACAAATGACGGTATCAAGATTCTAGTTTAGTGTGGGTATGTCGGAATGACTTGAAAATCTTCAGTAACTGTGCATGGTAGTTCGAGCTAAAGTTAGACTCCAAACAAACAGACCTTTGTGTAACAGACTTGGACTTTGTATTTGATTCTCCGAAAGATTTTCTTCTCCAATATTTTCATGGAAAATTGAAAATAATGGGTACGAATTAAATTTGATGTGCAGAGTTTATGATCGTATCTGCTTGGCGCACTTTGATTTTTTCGTTGTTGCGCTTCACTTGTTTGGTTAAACCATGGTTCGTGTGGTGCTTGTAGTTAAAATATCGTTTAAACGACTTCCGTATTTCATCTACAGTACTGCATTAATTTTTTCTTTACAAATGCGCGTGTGCAGTGCGTAGGCTGCACACAGGCGGTCGCAGCTGCGCTGGTTACTTGTACATAGTTGACCCTGGCCAGAGTACGCTGCTCTCGAAGACTTGCCTTGCTTCTGGCGTGTTACATTGCTCACTTTCCCTCCCTCTTCCCACCATCTCCTTCCATCCCTCTCTCCCTCTTCCCTCCGTGTTCTTTTTACTATACGTCTATTTACTTCATTAGTTGAAATCATTCGCTCATTTTTACATCAGTCAAAAATTATTTGAACTGACGTAGACTTGCAATTGATACGACAAAATTTTCCCTTAGTACAAGCATTTCTCTTATATATAGTCGGTGTCCTACGCGGATCTTCCTCCTTCTAATTCACATTTACTGCGACCATCATCTGGCGAGCGAATGCTTGTGTTTGTCTACAGCCAACAGAACCTAACAACCTCATGCTCGACTTCCTTCTTTGTTCGTTCCACGTGCACTTTCCCTCCGTCATATTGCAGTGCCCTTGGAAAAATGGTGTAAGTTTATCGGCTGGCCATCGCATTGAGCGCTTACGTCATTTTTTGTCGGTTTCTTTGAACGAAATTTTCAATGTCGATCAAACTTGCGCCTTGGTCATTTTAGAGAACCTATGAGCGTGTCGTGAATTATATTTTCAGGCTCGTGCAGTGTCACTTTTCAAGGAGCAATACAATTTATTGGGGGTTCATGTGTTCGTAAGAATGGATATTTGGAACAGTGAGAGTCATCCTTGAAAGGTGTAGCGATTTTTGGGAGAAGACACTTGTTGAAAAAATTTTGATAAAAACTTTAATCCACGCACAGAGTGAGTAATTCGATTACAATGGCACCATTTTAATTTATAACCTGGGTTCCCTTATCCTCAACCGAATAGATTATAAGTCTTCCGTTATAAATTGGCATGAGCGTGTTACATTGGTTCCTCATGTGACTGGATGAAGTGAGGTATTCTAATTTGTATTAATAGTTTTCCTTGAAATCAATGGCATGCTATATATTGATGAAAGGTTGTCGCGTTCGTTTCGCATCCATATACATTTGAATAATTTGTTACTCTTTCCTAGATGGTTTATGAAGGAGGATTTGATGGGTGAATGCATGAATGTGTCGTTCAGAACACGGGTTGACTTGTTTTGATGTTCTCTTTTGTGATGTGCTACTCATACCAGTGTGCAGTTGGCTCACTATATGAGCGTCAAGTTCGTTGCCTATTCAAACAGTCTCTGCTACCTTTCCCTTTTTCAATGATCCATCCGGCGTTGTCTGTGCTCTGTGCAGTTTACGAACTGTGTACTAGTGCACATTAATGTTTGCTATTATATTTTCCATTATTGTTGTTTTGTAACACCGGACAGGTTTTAATATCACTAAATACGAGGAAAAGCGAGGATATAATTTTTACATTTGTTACTGCAATAATTATATAACGATAAAAAAAATTTAACATTTAAAAATTTCCTATACGAACATGGAAGAGATGTGAGAAAAGGTGACTATAGGAATGCTAGGATCTTTTTTTTAATTTTTTTTCATTTTAAAGGCCTCCCACACTCACCATTCCAACAAAAAGGGAATTAATTTTATGCTAGGATCTATCTAGATATTTTCGCCCGATCTAGGATCTATCTAGGAGATCTTTGCTAGGAATGAACGACGGCTTCCGAGAAAGATGGAAAAAGTCGCAAGTCAAAATCTTAGGAGCCGATTTATAGTATTAGGTAGCGATTACAGTATAATATTGAGTTGAGGATAATTCTTGAAAATTTGAACTGGCGTAAGTATGTACAGTGTAGTAGGTATTTGATTTTAGAGATTGTCAGGTTTGATTTTTGCAATTTTGAGCATAGTAGACTACCACTTACTTCGAACCCAACAACTAAACATTCTTAAATTGTTTCCAAACATTCTTATTTTGTATACCCTTATGTGGAAGAATTGATTCCTTTGATAATTTGATTAAGTTGTTAAATAAAAATGTTAACGCAAGCCTTTACTCCGCGACTTATATATAGGAGTGCGTGGTGGCGCATGAGAAGGTTTGCAAAGTCAGTGGTTTAGCGGCGCAGAAGGTGGAGGAGGCGGTACAGGAGTTGCTGGAGCTCGTACAACGTCACAAGAGCCTCTGCACAGACACCGTCACACGTCCCTACCAACTCCCAATTGCTGAGCTCGCCCGATCTGTGAGTACGAGTCTTTTATTCTCTTGTATACTGCGACCAAATGTTTTTTACTTGTGTGTTTACATTACATTTCATGTATTAATTCCATTCTACTATTTTGCTTTTTACTTGCAAAATATGAGTCTAAAGCGTCGTTGAAACACCATGGTGCTGTATGGGCATTATTTAGTATCTGTCAGTGCCCAATTGACAATAATTGATTTGCTTCACAGCATGCTAGGTGAACAGTTTTTACCGTTTCAGGTGATCGCTTTAAATACTGACGGTAACTAAATTTAATTGGTCTTAAGATACGAATAGCTTTGGAGACGGTAATGTATTGGTAGACAAACGGCTAATAAATAAGTAACACTTCTGAATGAAATACACAAGTTAATAAATTAGTTAGTTATGAAATAAGTGTAACTACTTGATGAAAACTAGTTGCACTGAATTAGTTTCAAGTAGAAGATATTTGGTGGCTCGAAAGTTGTAGAATTTTCCGTGAAGTATACGTTACCTGTGTGTTGTCAGCTCTTCATGTGAGGCTCATGAAGACGCTTTTGGCCGATCATGCATGAATCCCATCGCCAAATAGGCAGTAAACTCGGTTGTTGCAGGATATTTCAGAGTCATGTGATTTTCACGTTTAAACACAATTCTTTTCCGTCAAAATGTTGACAATATGACCGCCAATTCTTCGACCTCGCCCAATCTTGACCTTTATTTCTATCTGATCAAGAAGTAATGTTAGGAACCGTGAAAATGTGAGGATCGGGCTACAGCCACCAGGCTACCAAAATCATGTTAGGAAATAAGAATTTGATTCATTAGACAAGCTCTAAAAAACGTATTTCAAATTCAATGACTGTAATCAACGCACTCGGAACATGAATTTTTTTATTGCACTTAGTTATACTACGGAGCTGCTCGTTCGATTATGCTCGTTTATTAGTTCTCGTCAGAAAATTAATGACTTATAAATACAATATATCGAACGAGTGATGAACAAAACGTATTCCCGTGCCGGGAATCGAACCCGGGCCTCGCGGGTGAGAGCCGCGTATCCTAGCCACTAGACCACACGGGAGTTGAATGGGTGGAAATTTATTTTAAAACCATTTCTAACACTCGAGGCCATAAATTCCTCGTCTCTTCATTTGAATTTATTCGAACGCATCTAGTTGATGCTCACTCAATATTGCGTGAATTCTATGCGAAAAATGATATGACTAGATTTTTTATCCATTTTGCGTTGGGATTTCAAATTTCTGTTGTAATGTAGAGCTGACAAGCTCAGTATGAATGTAATGTTGGTAGGTAAATTCTGTTTTGTCCTAAATCTCAAGGTTATATAATATTGCTGACAAGTTCATCTTAGCGCGATGAAGTGAGTAGGCGTCTAAATATTGAAAGATAAGACGAAAGAAACTCCTAGTACCGTACTAGTAGCATAAATGGGATCAGGCATCCCGGTTCGTACGGAAAAATTCAGTCAGTGAGGAGTATCGAACCCATACCCTCAGAATCGTTAAAGGATTAATATGCAGTACTTTAACAGATCAACGGAGGATTGAAAATAACGGTGCATCAACGGTAGGATTAAAAAATGCAGTGCAACAGCAGTTAGATAGTATTAAACAAGTACAGTGCATCAACGGTAGGATTAAAAATGCAGTGTATCAACGGTTAGATAGAATTAAACAAGTACAGTTAATCAACGGTTGGATTGTATTAAATAAGTACAGTGCATCAACGGTTGGATTAGACAAGTACAATGCATCAACGGTTGAATTAGACAAGTACAGTGGCATCAACTGTAGGATTGAACAGTGCATACACGGCAAGTTTGAAAAAATTATAGCGCATTGAAGGCAGGATAAAAAAGTGAAAATGCATCCCTGGCAGGATAAAAGCTAATTCTGCATCACTGACAAGATTAAAGAATCACAATACAATGTATCAACTGTTGAGTGCGAAAAATGTAAAAGGTTGAGGTTCCTCTGTACATGCGAGGCTGTTACGAACCACCCACTCACGGGCGCGATCCCATTACTGCTCAACACGGGTGCTTTTGGCTGCTGGGTTACCCCCCTGGCCCGTTACACACCTCCTTAGACAACCTGGTAACCCATGGCTACCCACGGGTTCCCATATTGATGCCGAGCTTAATGCGGACACCCACTCAACATGGGAAGACCCGCAACAGAACTCCCCACTGCAAGCCGTTCCTCAACCAAGCCTCCAGGAAGCTGGATTACAGGACCCCGCCACGAGTCCCGGCGACAGCAAGCGCTGCGAATGAGGACCTAATGAAAAAAATTTCACGTGGTGAGACCGCGCACTCAGGCACCTAGTATACATTGGTGGGACGGTGACGCGGCAAATATTGATCCTTTTGCCAATTCTGAAGCGATATTTATTGTTTACTGGGAAAACTTAACTATATCAATAATTATAATCAATGAACGGAAATTGAAAGTTTGATTAAATTGTGTTTTCTCTCAGCAACTCTGTACGTGGATTCTAAAGAAAGGCCGAGCGATCAACTTGTAGCTTTCTGCTCAAAAATTTAGTTGTTATCAAATGTAGTTATTCATTGTAATTATTGCGAGGCAATTTTCTTGTGTTGTAAGTTGCTTCAATGCCGGATTAAGAAATTAATTTCTAAACAAAGAACTAAAATCGAGAATTAAAAAATACCGGTTCAAAATTCAATACCGACCATGCAAATAAATATTTCAAGTGAAGAAAAACACAAGTCACATGATTTTGTGTCCCACGTCTGCGAAAAAACAATCCCAACTTATTTGGCCCTGGGGGGTTTCGAACACTTGATTTTACCTCGGAATTTCGTGCCCGTCCCCAGAAATTATTCGATTTGAGTTTAATTTAATAATTAAAAGTTGGAATCTACCTCTGCAAAAGGTGCACGGTGCGAGGCGGACAATTAAAAATTGTCATGATGCCGCAGAGCGACTGTGCCATGACGGTATATGTGTTGTCCATCCTTGTCAAGGGGAGTGCTAACCTTCTCTCCTTTCTTACAACACGATCAAGCTATGTCATTTAGAAGCTTTTGATGAAAATGAGGTTTTTGTGGTATTAATTTTCTCATCGTTTCCTTTATCTGCACTACATTTGATTGAACGAATTTTTTTGGAGATTGTGTAAATTTTGTTGATCCGAGCATTTGCCTTCTAATTTCGATTTGTTGAAACTATATGACGACATATCGTTACAATACACGTGCTGTGACGTGCAGTATATTGAATAATAAAGCTATTCAAGTGCCTAATAAGTTGAAAATCGATTTTCCATTAGCATCTATTTGATACATTAGTCCAAAAATAATCATTAAATCAATTGATGTATTGAACTAGTGAAAATAATCGTCCGAAAACAATTTTTATCAATATTGCAATTTCTCGTATTAAATTGGCCTAAGATATGATTAAAACCTAGTGATACCCGCATTGATGATTAAAATTACCTCGATAGGACGTAATTTTTGGATTTGAGTTTAGTTACCTAATGTATTTAGTTACCTATTGTATGCATAAAGTTTAGCTTTTTGTTTGTACTTGCAAAGGCTCGAATGGATTGTGCTCTCACCCGGTGTCATTATCAGAATCAGTAGGTGAATGAAATACATGGGCTCTGTTTTTTCGTCTTTATAATTTTCTGCGGGTTGCATCAACTAGCATTTAACGAAGAATTGAAGGCTTGTTCTCCTCGTTGTGTCTCTCCTCCAAGTAAATTATTGTTGTTTTCTGCACGATGTTCATTAGACAAGAAAGCTTGAGTACCACCTGTAAAAGAATCATCTGGTGATGACCTCATAACAACTGAGCGTGCGTTCAGAAAATTGTATTCGTGACGGAAACATCGGTATTGGTACTTATACGGTTTCCGATCACATATATGCCGGTTCTGAGTAACAATTGTTCCCTACTTTAATTTCTTACCGAGAATTCGAAATAGCTATACCAACAAAGAGGTGTCTAGCCACATTATTTCAGGAAGGAATGTTTTTAATTGTATGATTCACAGACAGCCTTACCATGACCGTTGTTGAATAAATGAAGTTGAAATTAAATTTCCATAGCATCAGAAATATATACCCCTTATGTAATCGGTTCTTCTTAAATTTCTGTGGAAGATTAATACATCGCTAAAAAAAAGCTTGGAAGTGATGATATCACTACAAGCAATAAGAAGAATTTGAACTCAACGTGGAGGAAAGGAATTTGAAGAATTTCACGAAAACTCTGAAATATATGTTCAGAGTTTGATCTTGGTAATTAATGGTAGAAGAAGCTCGCAGACTGTGAAAACCAACACGCGGTTAATGGGCATTTATCTCATAATCGAAAGAGATTGGTTAAAATCGATCGTCTCTCCAGTTTTAATGGATGTACCATAGATACAACTGTGCAAATAGATGTTCGATGATTTTAAGAACTGTATAGGTTTTAATTTTAGATGCTTTGCGTTTCAGAAAAAATGTTTGAAGAATGAGCTTGAGCAATGCTCGCAAACTCTGCAGAAGTTTCGTTGCGGTGATTGCTCGGAGGACCAAGCTCTACTGCAGGTGCACTCTGGGCTGCAGGCCGTCCAACAAGCTCTCTCGGTGACCAAATCTGTCGCGGACGTCTGCAACTGTGACAATCAGGCGTGAGATAACTTGACTCATATTTATCTGTTAATTTATCCATTAACTGCTATAATTATTAAGTAGCTATTAATTATTTAATGTCCATTATCCGAAGCCCATTTAATTAATTTATCCATTGATAATTAATGTATCCATTATTTTAATTTATTTATATATTCTTGCTAAAATTGTATTGCGTCTGATAGAAAATTACACTTTTACTTATATTTTGAATTATATAAACATCGTTTTTCCTGAGTTGCTCGATTAACTTCTTTCCTATTGTCATGAATATTTTAATTTTTTCAATTCATTTCGATTTTCATGACGCTTATGCATATGTGATCCGACTGCTATTATATAACGACCAAGATGAATTTTGACAACAATTTAACATCAATAATAGGAAATTTGACTGATGATTATGAAATTATCTTGAAATTTTGTCCATTATTATATTATAATTTTCAGGCCTTTTATTTTATGGTGTTCTTTATCCACTTCTCCAGAGTAATCAAACTGTCGAAAAATGCGATGGAATTAATTAACGCTTGTTTGGAGGTGCCACATTCTCCACAAGCATGCAACGGTAAAATTGAAGAGGTATCTGATGCATCTGTACTTGCTGACCTCCCGAATAAAGTGTGTGAACTCAAAACTGATGATGTGGCTTCCAACTCCGCTGACTTTGGTGACGAAACACCGAGAGAAATTGAATGCGACTTGGACAGAGCTCAGCTCTCTGTACTTTCGAACAAAAATGTCGGCAAAGAAGGTCACGGTCTGCACTCTTTCAAGCACATTTCTTCTGGCTATTTTAGCAACGTCAAATCATGCACTGAGATTGGTTCAAAAGTACCGAAAACAACTGTTTCGCTTGCGGACGTGCGCAAAACTTTCCCGATTGATAAAACACCTGAATTTCGCTCCACCATGCTGACCTCTCAAGAACCTTTTGTGAAGACTCGGAAAAATGTCGATTCCTCTCGCGAAATGCCCAACCATCTGAGGGGTGGAGTTCGACCGAAAACTTCCTCATCATTGATTCGTAACTCGCACCTGTCTTCCTCACCGAAGCTAAACTATGTAGTTTCCCAGTCTGGCAACCGAAACCAGACGCTAAACATCGAAGGTAATGTTGATGGTTTACGGAAAAACCCTACACATTCCAAGGATTATTCGTACACGAGAGAGCAGATTTGGACAATACGCGCTCAGGCTGAGCAAAATAGCCGACGTTACTCAGTGGGAACCATGGGGGCCAAAGCACCGTGGGATGAAGCTGCAACGTTTACAAACTCTCAGGCTAATATTACTGGACATCATCGTTCAATGTCAGATGCGATGCAGGTTGATGTTGAACCAATCTTTGATGAAATGAGTAAACTGCTGGCTGCATATGATAGTCATCGTCCCTCCAGCGGTGCACCGATGCGCCCAAAACCTTGTAAGTGAACCAAAATATGTCATTTATATTCAAATTTGAATGCTCTCTTGCTCGTTGTTCTAACTGTATATAATTTTGGTTATTTTGTCGACCATTCATTTTCGTGGTCGTGGCTGTAGCGCGTTTGCAGCCAAGGGATTGTTTTTACCCGTAAATATCAATCTTCAAGTTGTGTCTAGGAATAATTCAGATCATGGTTATAGCGTGTCTTGCTCATTATACCTGTCTAGAAGTTTCTAATTGATGAAATGAATTGGCAATATGAGCGTCACTCTAGATGCCTATATCCATCTGTTTCCTTATTAATTGTTACAAACTCATTCTTTAGCATGAAGCCTGGTTTCCTCAATAGTACATTAAATACATCCTATATTAATTGTGACCTCATAATTCTCCTGAGCCGTCCAATGTTAGTTTGATATCGCTTTTCCATAACATTTTCAATAGTATCTAATATTGAATTCATCACACACGCCCCCAGTCCACATAGAGAGCTCTGCTATCGTGACAGTGGCGTCCAACCCATCGCTGTTCTTCTACCGCAACAGTCAGCGTTTTCAAGATGCGTCAAAATTCCTCAATTATATTGTTGCTCCTTCAGCCGCTCGTGTGCTGGCACCAGTTGTTGGTGAGTTGTGAGTTCTGCAATAAGTATGGAGAATATATGATTTATAGAACAGTGGACGATTGATGCGATGTCGTATTGATCAATACATCAATATGATGTATTGATCAACATATTATACTGTATTGTATCAAGAAATATGATCTACGTATTGATATTGACATCAATACATTAATATGACGTTGGTTAGTTGTTGCTCGCTTTACTCGCCCAGCTTTACTCATCATCATCATTATCCGTCGACGAGCGACATTTGTTTACGAACAGAACAAATCTTGTTGTTTTCCAGGCAAGGTATATCTTGGGCGCAGTCGGCAGGACAATGCTTGGTACAGAGTTCTGGTGACCGCTCGGCAAGAAGCGCGGGACGAAAATAATCGCAAAATGTCGGTGGTGTCAGTCTATTTCTTCGATATCGGCACTACGGAAGATGTTTCGTACGACAGGTGAGTGAGCGCACTGTAGCAGGGGATGGCATATTATAGCATAAAATCATCAAATTCGTCTGCAAGTGTGTACTACGTATTATTTATATTTTTCAGAACCCACTTCGTCTCATCATATGTTTAGTTATTATGTTTTTCTAACAAATATTTCTTTACCGAAAAATAATCCATTGAAGGCGTCAGTTAACTCGCTATCTCTCTAAAAACATGAGATGCCGAACTTGTTCTGATTATGTGAAGCTTGAAACCTATATTAATTATTACCTATGAACATATAACCTATAGTAATTATTATTACTATAATTATTATTAATTATTATTATAATTATTATGTTATAACTATAGAAACATATAGTAATTATTAAATTTTTTGACCGGGGAATAATTTACACTTAGAAATAAGGGTTATTTCCGCTTGTGCGCAGACTGCGAATTTGTCCGTCGGAGCTCGAGCACCAGCCAACGCTGGCCATTCCGTGCTGCCTTGCCGGCGTCCTGCCTCCTCAGAGTTCTGAAGCAGCTGACGCTCTGGAGACTGCCGGCGACCACGATCCGCCCAATGCCGAGGAAAAAATTACATTAAACGAAGACAGTACAGAACACAGCAAGGATTCTTGGAACGAAGAATCTGTGAAAGTTTTTCGTCAGCTCGTACTGAACGCTAATTTGCAAATTTTCTTCATGGGTGTAGAGGACTGGAAATATGATCAGAAGAAATTTCAGGTAAGTTATATAGTTTATTATTTGAATAAATTTTTGCTAATATAGTAAGCATTCTATCCCTGCAAATATATATGCTCCTACATACCTGGTTTGGCTTGTTTATTTGCATGAGCTCGTAACTTTTTAACCTGAAATTAATTGTAATCTGTGCATTTAAAATTTTAATTCGAATAATTACGTAATTTGTATCGCTTATTGAAAAAATAATGATGCTAAGAAGCTTAATGCTTAATTAATAATGATGCCAAGAAGCTTAATCATGTCGTTGACTTCAGCACATCTAAGGTTTCTAGAATGATGGTTAGTAACTTTTTCCCCCTTTTGGTTACTATGCTTGCTATTTGTTATTAAAACAAGTAAATTACACTAGGCAACCACAGAAAAGCGCCTCTAGTGCTGTCAATAGTTGCATATCAATTATATTCATGCAATAAAAGTAACCCCATGTTATCAGGTTGAGCTGCGTCGGGTGAAGAACATTAGCGGCGTGACGTCGAACGAGTCTTTGTCTGTGCGCGAGGTGCTGCTAACTCTTGGGCTCGCGCGTCCCGACGCTGCATCCAAGCATCTCAAGGTCTGATTGTATTACCATCATCGTTATAAATTATTTCTATCATAGTTAGCAAGGGCGTAACTAATTTAGAATTGAATTCGAATCATTCGAATGTATTACCATCATCGTTATAAATTAGTTCTATTCTAGTTAGCAAGGGCGTAACTAACTTGGGATTGAATTCGAATCATTCGAATTCTCATGAGCTGGAAAGATTTCAATTTTTGCTGTATGGATTTTATATGAAGTATTTATTGCAGTTCGATCGTTTTTCAACGATAAGTATATGCGATACAATTATTTAATATTGACGTAATTTCTTTCTGACGTGTCTCAAAGACTAAGTTGTACAAATTGGGTTCGTACATAGCACACACGTTCGCCACATCTGTTGATAGTGTAGGTAGGTATCAAGACTCGCCATTTGGTGTTGTGTCTTCTGAATATAGTGGTCCCCCTTCAAGATTTTGCCCGGCTTTGTCTTAGAGCACTTAATAAGGTTGACTCTTGCATTCTTTTCCGACTTTCTGGAAACCATGGATAAGGTGACTCAACTTTCACCTTTTACTGAGAACTTCTGTGCAAGACAGCAACTCCGTGAGTGGTTATTAATTTATTCGCGTTCAGGACGTAAATTTTAATTAAAAATGTACGTACAAGTTGAATGGATCATCGAAACGAGTTCCTGACGTTTACTTGAAAATTAGATTTGATTTTTAAATGCCCTATAATCATAAGTTGACCATGAAAAATATGAAAGCGTGAACTTAATACCGGTGAAGTATTGCAATATTTTTCAGTATCGTATGCAGCTCTGAGCTCTCATAAATGCAAGTGTAATGACAAGATTGCATTCGATATGACTACTCTCCACTTATTAAAATAGTTTTCGCTCGCAGAAAATCTTCCCTGCTAATCATTCAAAAACTAACAATCGGACAACAATTTCTCTGTCCAACTCAACAGCTTCTGGCTCTTTGTTTTGCCATCACACTGTGGTTAATTATCTGTAAATTATTGTTCGTGGTTCTCTTTGCAATCAATTTACATTGAACTAAAAAACAGCATATTATATCAAATTTCTATACGTATTCATATTCACATATTGGCCCATGAACCGACATGCAGTAGTCACCGTCGCAATTTAGATTTTCTCCCTAGGTTCTCAGTGGTGCTGGGTCGGGGTCCACCAGTTGCTGACAGTATTGCTCTGGCTTCCCTTCAGAACGCATAAATCTTTCGCCTTTTACTAAAGATTTCCGTGGAGGGGAGCAACTCAATGAGTCTCTAAAAATTTGTTTGATTTCAATGAGGTCCCCACGCAGACGTCGATAACTGAGGCTTGGAAGCTTCATAATCTTCAATCTTTCTTCTTATTAATCTTATATTTACGTACCTATGTAAAAATATCTGAATTTTGTAATACCGTAAACGACTTGTGCCACCTTAATTTGTTTGCATAAATGGAATAACGTGCTTCAATGATAAATCACAGTTTTGTAGGCATCCTTATCAGTTTCAACATTCCATCAAGTCGGTTTCTATGCAGAATTCGAGTGATGGGTGTGTCTAGCTTGAGATATACGCTAGTTATCGTCGAAAGTGGAATTTCTCCCTACGCGTGCTCAGTGGTGCTGGGCCGGGGTCCACCAGTTGCTGACAGTATTACTCTGGCTTCCCTTCAGAACGCATAAATCTTTCGCCTTTTACTAAAGATTTCCGTGGAGGGGAGCAACTCAATGAGTCTCTAAAAATTTGTTTGAGGCTCGCTTCTGCGAGCCAAAAAACTCATGGTTTAATTACTTATTTTGGAATGTATAGCGATGAACTCTGCTATGAGACTTGGGGTATGTACAGAGAGACGACTGTACATGTTTCGTACAATTAATTACGCATTGTCTGCATTAATATATTGTTCCATTCTCACATGAGGATGATAGCCATCCCTAAACGTTTTATGTAAACATTGACATATATTGTTGAAATTCGCGCAGAGTACCTTCCGTAAACTTGTTTTGCTGAAATTAGACATACGTAATGGACGAATTTTTGTTCAACCAGCCCTAAACGTTTTATGGAAACATTGACATATATCGTCAAAATTCGCGCAGAGTACCTTCCGTAAATTTATTTTACTGAAATTAGACATACGTAATGGACGAATTTTTGTTAAAATTCTTGGAAGTGAAGATAGAAGCGCCGCGCGTCGGCACCACTTGACGTCAGAGTGACGAGACAATTAATTAATCTACGATGGTGTTTTGTATTTAATCTACGATGGTGTTTTGTAGAATTGTGTAGTGCGGCTAAAATCTTTGGTGCTCAATTCTCTCAAGTGAGAATGAAACAATTTTTAATGCTGTGCTTATAGTTTGGAAGCGCATTTCACCACCTCTAATTATCGTTGGTCGAATGCGTGTAAACTGTTGATGGCGATCTCGATTCTAGCATGATATGATTCACGATCCACTGAAACTGAAACTTATGCTACCATTTCAGGAATCCTGATTTTTTTCTAGCTATTTCTGACCTATTTAACTATTTTTTGAACTTGGTTCTAGTAAATAGTAAATATAAATGTCCCAAGTGACTCGTACTTCATGAATGGGTTGTCACAGATTGACTTTCAAGTATGCCTGGAGCCGTTTAAGCGTGTTTTCATCAACATCATGGTTCATCGCCTCTGTTCTAGTCATCGTCATCATCTCTCTCCAAGGTTCATCATCTGTGTTCCAGCGGGTTCGATCTCTTTGTGCGACAGTTTTTGGTCAGAATCGGCGAAGAGGCAGTGCGGTTAAGCAAAGCAAAATCTGAGCAGTGAATTGCGTGTTAGAGATCGCAACAAGCTGCGAATATGCTGCCATGTCCTGAGTCGGTGACTGGTTTAACGGCCTTATAAACGCTGAAACGGCGATATATACTTTTCCTTTAGATATTACGCCTGACGATTATTACGCCTTTACGATTACGCCTGATATTACGGGTGTCACCGATCTCGAAATCTACGTTAGTCACCGTCGTGCTAATAATTTTCTTCCTACGTGCTCAGTGGTGCTGGGCCGGGGTTCACCAGTTGCTCTCAGTTTTACTCTGGCTTCCCTTCAGAACGCATAAATCTTTCGCCTTTTACTAAAGATTTCCGTGGAGGGGAGCAACTCAATGAGTCTCTAAAAATTTGTTTGAGGCTTGCATCAGCAAGCCAAAATAAACTGAGTTTGCATTATGTCCTAAGATTGATTTGAATTCACTACCTTAACTTCAGCTTCCGAGTGAATTAGTTAAAGTCCTCAGATGTACAGATAATGAAATTTCTGTCACGTTTACATGATGCAAAGCTGACAAGACAAGTTTGACTACATATCTTACTCCCATCAGGGGGGACTTCTGACAGGTGTCTGTGGTCGTCTGAAGTCCTATGGGATTTTGCGCTCGCGGTGTCTGACTGCAGGTCTCAGTTGTGGGGTTAAGTTATTATGGAGGCAGGATTCCTCACAATTCTCTTTTCCGTCTCTCTCGTGCGGGCGACCGACGTCCCGTGTAAGCGACCTCTTGTTCCGAGAGTCTTCGTTTCTGTTGCTTTTCACCTGTCCCTCCTTGTCACTTCGTCTCTTTGAGATGCTTACGCTGCTTCTTTCGCGCCAGCTTCAGCGGGCTGGACATCTGAGACCTTCCGCTTCTTGTGGGTGAAGAAAAATTTTTGATTTGAGAAATTTTCGATAACTGAGACATTTCACCTCTATGGTGATGTTCATTCTGACCTCCGGTGCGAGATAGCTAAATAGCTGAAGCGCTAGAAAACACGTGGCCACTAAAACTAACTAATTAACTAACGACATTTCTTACTGCGAAAACTGGGAAAATTTTTCCCGTTTTTGAGCTATCCTGTCTTTTAATTGAGCTTTAGATAAACTAAAAGCTCAAAATGACCGATCATTTTCAAAAGTACTTGAAAATGGCCACAAGAAATACTCATCGATATTTCCGACATAAGTCATTGCTCATTGGTATGAATAACTCGCATGTGAATTTGTATGGAAATACAACTTTGTTTTAATTATGATATTTTTATTGTTAACATTTAAAATTGTTTCAAAGCACCAGGAAATTTCCATCCCTTAATCCGATTTCAAGGCCTCTGAACTTTTGTTTTCTGGGAACCCAGCGATAGATGGATGACCTATGAGGTAAAAGAGACTACTGCTTGCCGCTGATCTTTTGATTATTATTTGCTATTAGGTAAACCGTCAGAGCTGCATATACTATCCTTTATTCCATCTTCATTAGATCGCATTTAGCCCTACTTTATCTCATTTGATTCCAAGTAGACATATATGCTAGTCACCGTCGTAGTGTGGATTTTCTCTCCACGTGCTCAGTGGTGCTGGGCCGGGGTCCACAAGTTGCTGACAGCATTACTCTGGCTTCCCTTCAGAACGCATAAATCTTTCGCCTTTTACTAAAGATTTCCGTGGAGGGGAGCAACTCAATGAGTCTCTAAAAATTTGTTTGAGGCTTGCATCAGCAAGCCAAAAAAATGTAAACCGAAAAAGACTTCTGATTTTAGACTTCATTATATAATATTTAAGTGACACAGTAATGATGTTGGATTGGCGTTAGACGTACCGATGGTTTCGCGGAGTACAAAGACAATCATTCGAGAACGTTATTCATGAATATTAACTTCTATTGTATGAAAAAATGACTGCGGATCACATTCCTCAAAAAAAAATTTTCTACGTGCCGGAAGGGACAAGATGAAACACAAATGGGGAATAATTTTCGTACCGAAAATGATCAGTATTTTTACCACGTTTTTCTCATATAGTTTCGCTTCGTGCCTGTCTGTCATAAAAAACTCAAACATTAATTTATAGCACTTCTGAAGATCCTAGAAACATGAAATTTGGCATGCATGCTTATGCTGCCTAATAATTCAAGAATTGATCATCAGAATTAATAATTAAAAAAATTTTAAGAAAAAAAAATTGAATTCACGGTTTGGACATCGAGTTTTTTTTTGTCTAACATCCAGAGTTGCCAACCCTGGAAAATGATTTGAATTGCTAAAATTGCTAAACCATAAGTAGAAAATAAATAAATATAAAAAAAATTTTTTTAAAAAACACGTTTTTTTAACAGACAAAAAAGAAAAACAGTAACTCTTACATAACATTAAAGTTATGTAGAATGTTATGTAATGTTATGTAAGAGTTAATGTTTTTCTTTTTAGTCCGTTAAGAAAACGTGGATTTTAAAAGTTTCGTCTATTTGTTTTATTTCATTGTTTTTAGTTTTGTAACCACCAGAAAAACGTGGTTTTTAAAAGTGGTTTTCTATATTTATTTATTATAAGCATACCGCCAGCCCCGCAGTAGGGTGATTAGGCAATTACGAAACCAGCAAGCACAGGAAAACTAGTCCGCATTTTGTTACTAGTCATACTTGATCCCATCTCGTTAATTGGAGCTTGACACGACGATTCTTAACTAAAGCTCCTAATTTTAAGCTTCATACTGTAGAATTCCTAAGATAGAATTATAGGACGCACAGCTGTTGAGAGGAGTTAAACCAAACTTCGTGCAGCAAAAACTGCGCGAAAAAAAATGATCTTCAGTGCTCGAGTATTTGCAGAACTGATGCATCAAACTTTACTTGGAGCTTTTAAGAAAAAGAATACTTAGAAATATTGAAGTAGAACGTAATGACTGAAATATTTTAAGGTAAATATCGCAAATTCTAAACAGCATATTTAGTTTTTCCTAATAGTTTTGAATTCGTAAGAAGCACGATTATCCCTAACCTATTATATATTTGTTATAAACAGTTTTTATGTGAATTTCTATGTTTTTTTCGTATGTAACTATTTTTGGCCAATTTGTCAAGTAGGTAGTTGTTTTGAAAGCTCCATTCTGGGATTCTGTTAAGAGAGAACTTGCAAGACTTTCAATTCCTATATTCTGTTTTGACGGCATCTAAATAAATGTTGGTTGTCTTTGAATCGTCCGATTGATGTATAAACTAAAAAGACTAATTCAATGTCATACCTAAGCTGCTTGCCACTGATAGAATTTTTTTTGCCACTTTTACGCGGACAGCATCAGAACTTTATTTTCCTTCATGCATCCTTTCGTCATATATCAAATCCCTACTTCTACTTAGTATGTTTGGCTTTCACTCCTAGCTCGACATTTACGCTAGTCTCCGTTGGGATGTTGATTTTCTCCCAACATGCTCAGTGGTGCTGGGCCGGGGTCCACCAGTTGCTGACACCATTACTCTGGCTTCCCTTCAGAACGAATAAATCTTTCGCCTTTTACTAAAGATTTCCGTGGAGGGGAGCAACTCAATGAGTCTATAACAATTTGTTTGAGGCTTGCATCAGCAAGCCAAAATCAACTCGATTCACATTATGCCATAAGATTGCTTTGATCTCACTACCCTTCAGCTTCGGAGTGAATTTGTTGAACACCTCAGAGTTCGCTATAAACAATGGAATTATTCAGTCACGTTTACAGGATGCAAAGTTGACGAGACAAATTTGACTACATTTCTTCCTGCGAGATCTGGTAAAATCCTCCCGTGGTTGAGCTAACTTGACTTTTTATCAACGCTTTAGAGTTTAGATAAACCAAATGATATGGCAATGTAATACGGAGGATTAGTATGTCTGGCCATTTTCTAAGGTACTTGAAAATGGCCACATGAAATATTTATTGATATCTACAACAGATGTTATTGGCATGCATAATTCACATGTGAATTCATGCATGTTCGTTTTACTTGGAAATTTTTTCTTGTAGATATTTGAAGTTGTTTCAAAGCAACAGGAAATTTATTTCTACTAAAACCTACCAGAATTTCCATCCCATTATATTTCCATCCCTGATCTTACACGATCCGGATTTTTTGTTTTCTGGAAACCGAGCGATCGACGGCTAAAAAAGTAAAGACTAGGTATTGTTTGCCGCTGATCTGTTGATAATTACTTGCTATTAGGTATACCGTCAGAGCATCATATATTATCCTGTATCCCTTCTTCATTAGATCATATTAGACCTACTTCGTCTGACTGGAACCCAGGTCGACATATACGCTAGTCACCGTCGTAATACTGATTTCCTTTCAAGTGCTCAGTGGTGCTGGGCCACGGTCCACAAGTTGCTGACAGTATTACTCTGGCTTCCCTTCAGAACGCATAAATCTTTCGCCTTTTACTAAAGATTTCCGTGGAGGGGAGCAACTCAATGAGTCTCCCTACTTTATCTCATTTGATTCCAAGTAGACATATATGCTAGTCACCGTCGTAGTGTGGATTTTCTCTCCACGTGCTCAGTGGTGCTGGGCCGGGGTCCACAAGTTGCTGACAGCATTACTCTGGCTTCCCTTCAGAACGCATAAATCTTTCGCCTTTTACTAAAGATTTCCGTGGAGGGGAGCAACTCAATGAGTCTTTAAAAATTTGTTTGAGGCTTGCATCAGCAAGCCAAAGTATCTTGAAATGATCTTTGTCAAGTAATAATATTTTATACATGTTGATAAAGCCAGAGCCTGTCTTGCACAGAGCTTATTAGTCTTTTGTGTGTTTTTATTAGTTTCTTTTTCCATGTTCTTCGTTTTTTACTCTAGGCTTCCGTGTAGCGAGCAAATTTTTAATATAATAATTCCAGCCTTTCTATAACAAACCATTAATGTTCGGAAATTATCATCTGTTTCTTGTGACTGTCGTTGATTTAAATTTTTATATTGCCATGGACTGGGGGCAGCCATCATCTTTTGCGTATTTTCCAATGGGTTTAATTTTCAGGCCATTGCTACTATCTTCATCTTGTCCGGCTCTATGGTGTTTTGCTTGAGATTTCGAGGCCATGAGTGGCCTTCTGTCATATTTAATTTGGGTGAAGTTGTTACTTAAGTATTCAAATTTTTTCTTCTCAGGATGAAAGCTCTGGCAACAAGACACCTCTGCGTCAGTTTTTCAAGCCCGAGATGACGATGGGACAAGAGGAGTTTGTGGTGCTTACAAGCTGTGACTCTCCTCACCATTTCCACGTTGTATTGGACGGCCCCGATAACTCGGATCAACTTGACAAGCTGCATCACTCACTACAAAAGTTCTACTCATCGCTTCCCAGCCTCACGGACTGGATTATTTTTCTGCCCAAAATTGGTTAGTGTCAACTTTCTCCGTCGCAACTGTAGGAACGCAGGTGCACGCTCATGTTTGTATTGCATGCACTATGGTGTATCAGAACTCAGTGTTAGTGTATACATTTTTATATTCTTCGAGATGAGTGACGATTCTTAACTCTCACCATGCCACGTGTCGATATTTGTATCCATGTTCTCGTGTCGAAAAAAAAAACGTTTTATTTAACCTTCACAATGTCGTGTCGATATTTGTATCCATGTTCTCGTGTTGAAAAAATAGCGTTTTATTTCCAGGAGAGGCGTGCGTAGCGAGGTCCTCGGTGAATGGACTGTGGTACCGCGCCCTCATCGAGGGGATTTGTTCTGTTGTCGAGCCTGGCGAGTTGTTCGTCAAGGTCTTCTTCGTAGACTCCGGCCGACGCGAGAGTCTCCGCTACAATCAGCTGTGCAAGATCCGAGACTCCTTCATGAAATTCCCTGCTCAGGTATTCAAATCAATTATCCAGTGATTTTATTTTTAATACAAGTCGAAATTCCAATCCTAATATAAAATTAAGTTTACATGCTCACTGGAATAGTAATTAAAAGCGATCAAAGACTATAAGTGCCTTGTTATGCGTTTTAATTTAAGTATGCAGTGCTCGAAAATTTTTTCTCATTTGTTCACAGAGAAGCTTCGTATTTTTGGTCAATTTAAGTTGCTTATGTATAACTTTAGGTCACTTATCAAGATGCGCTTTGATTGTTGCTAGATGCTGTTCAAAGAGGCCGCTTTAGTCGTTTTCCTAGGGAACAGTTTTGTGTATGTGTATAATGATTTTCAAACTTGGTTGTATTCGAATGATGATTTCCATGCATCTGAATAAATTATTCGCATAATTTTTAACTGTAGATTTTTCGCGTTTTTTGTATAGCTGATCATCCCGCTCTTAATTTTATTTACTTTCATTCGTAAATAATAGAGTAAAATTACTGTTGAAAAATACGATCTTTTTTTTGCATGTTGGCGATACGGCTGAGCGTTCGTTTGTTTGAGTCGTAATTATAAATGCTTCTCCCAGGCTATCACGTGTCACCTGGCCAACGTAATGCCTCTCGAGGCCGTACCTGAGAACGAAGACTCCGCCAACCCAAGCTTCTGGAACAAGGAAGCCAAGGAGATCGTCGATGCCTTCATAGACACACTGACTGACAGGCAATCTTATACTGTGAGAAATGTCGAGTTTTCATTTCAGTGTAGTTTTATATTATGTTGTCTTATACCAGTGAAGAAAATATTATAATTCCAGATTTTTTACTTAGTCATGAATCAATAGGGTTCCATGTTAGTTTGGTGATGAGAGATTTTATTTTATGAACGTCGTTCCTATTACTGACAACCGGATTTTTTTGCGAGAATTTTTGCAGCTTTCATTACAATTCGATTCTTTGAGTTGCAACAACCGTAATTGACTATTTATATATGCATTCCATAATTACTAGTGGAATTTAATAATTAGTTTGCTTCAGTTCAACAATTTGAGACTAGTGGCGTGAGACCGTGTTACTTCAAACAAGGCCTTTCTCGAATGCAATTCTCTCCTAATGTTTTTTTTTACAGATTCTCGATCCATGCTCCTCGTTGGTTAATTTCTTCATCCATGCAGCGCTTATAGCACATTTAATTGCAGTTTAACATGTTACAGGCGACATTCCATGGAGTGGATAACCACGGCGCCTACTTGGTGAATTTGATTGTCCATGCTCAGCCTCAGAGCTCCCTGGACCTCGCGAACCATCTCGTCCGCTTGGGACATGCCCGCCATCACTTCAGGTCCGCTGGGCACTAGAGTCTTGCTCTGGTATTTTCGCTGCTTCTTATGTCATGCGAATTTATTGCGACACACGATTCCTCTCTTCTTTGGGTCGTGTGTGAAAAACTTCTTTGCTTTTTTTTTGTTCATGCCGTGTATTAACTTCACCTCTAATCAGCCAATTTATTACTATGCCTTTCTGAGGTCTATTTGATTATCCATCTTTTTCCCCCTGTTGTTTTAATCGCACGTTGTGTTATTCATTCCCCCCTCTTGGTCATCAGCTTTCCTGTGTGTCATTGGCATTATCGTCTTTCTTCTCCGGTCATTCCGTGTATTAATAGGGCGAAATATTTTCACCTCGTAGCCCGTTGTCGAGAGTCTGAAGTCCATTTGCAAAGCGTGATGAAGAGTATGACCAACGAAGCATTTGACTGAACAAATTCTAATTATTTCACAGAAACCTAAGTGAACAAACACAAATTACTTAACAAACACGAGACTTCTCAATGTCATGTTGTGGTTTTAAGAGAATCAGATGCCGTCAGTTCTTGATTACCTAACGTTAAAATTTTTTTTTTGTTGTAGTTGTGCAGCAATATATTCTATCATTAACTGAGCGTTGATAAACTGAGCAGTTGGGAGCCGTCCACAAACGAGGTCGCGGGGTTGGACGGGCAGTTGGTGTCCCGCTTGAACACATTCATCAGCGACACCCAACGCACCGGCAGCATCGCCGGACGGATGGCGCTCGCCCCCTTCAATGTATTCCAGCCCGTAGTTTTTTTTAATATTTCAGGAGTTTCTGTTTTCATTCTGACAATTTAGAATTTTAAATATATTTACTTAAATTTAGTCCTGGGGATAATGATTGGTTTAAAGAACGTATGCCATTGACATGATTGAAGGCCTGTTGCTCTGTAACGATCGTAATTTCTGCATTAGATGCCCTCTTAAAGACATACACGTCGTTCCTTATTGTTAATGGATATTTCCTGGCGGGATAAATAAATACGTAAGTTTAACTCGTATTTTTGAACAAGAGTTTTCCCGTAATCAGTGCTAATGTTTCCTTTCTTTTAGAAAAAAGAAATGCGTGAAAGGCGAGGCATACGTGATATATTCCATTCTTTTTACATGTGAAACATTGAAATCTTCGTGCCTCAGTCTTTCTGAATAATCTATCAGAATGAAAGATGGCTGGTTTTCCCAACGTGTGCCAGAAAAGTGTAGGGTCGCATCTAACTCGTGCAAAATCTTCGTGACTTCCTTCTTTACAGTTGTTGCGATCCTTTCAGTGTGAATTTGAATAAGCGATGTAATGCGTGTATTTTGACCTGTCTGTACCAGGGCGGTCGCGTGGTGAGCGACGTGATGTAATGCAAGTATTTGACCTGTCTGTACCAGGACGGTCGCGTGGTGAGCGAAGTGATGTAATGCAAGTATTTGACCTGTCTGTACCAGGACGGTCGCGTGGTGAGCGAAGTGATATGCGAGCCTCCGATCATCGGCACGCGCAGTGCCATCGGTGTGGTGTACCTCAGCGTCATCTCGCCGTCCGCTATCTTCCTCAGACTCAGATCTCGCACGCATCTCTTCAACAAGTCTGTTCAAACGCTCTATCTTGTTCAAATGAATTGTTTAATCTGATTTAGTAGTAGTGAAATTCGGTTATTTTCTATAGGTATACTTTTTTTATCATTAAAATCCAGCTTTGTTTATCTAATGCTGAAGGTTGAGCTGTCAGCTGTTAGGTTAGCCAGGCAGTTGATCCGATTCCTTGATGTTTTTATCACTTCGACGATTTTTTAGTTTTTGGCCACGACTATTCCTGACTAAACGAGAACTCAGTAGCTAAGCCAGTCAAGTTACTCTTTATTTGACCAAATTACTCCTCTCGTGGCATCCGCGTAACTCGCTTGATTTTTATCGATGAGATAAATTTATTCTTTAATGTCATGATGATACTTCGTACATTTCGTCGGCGCACAAGTGTCAATGGGCGAATGCAATAGGAAGTTTATTCAGCTTTCATGAGTGACGCAAAATTTGCTAATCAATTTAGATGATAGACGAGACTGGAAGGTATGATTAGCAACGGATATTTTGTTGTCAACTGCTAAGCGTCGTTTTTTCTTGCTGTTGAATTATTGTGTGTTACCAAATATTTTTTTTTGTGAAGTTTTGTTTGTTGGTGTTAATCTTTTCTGAAAACATTTACATATGTGATTTATTACGGTACTATATGCTAATATTTAGCTAAATATAATGATTATTTCGAAGGCTGCAGAGTGAACTGGATTCTGCTTTGGACGAGGCAGCGGGCGTGGAAGGCACCCCACTTGCAGGCAAACTTTATCTTGCCGTCTTCGATCGTAAGCCGTACCTGGCCAGAGCCAAAATTTTGGAGCTTCAGCAAGACTGTAACGTGAAAGTGAGTGTCTTCTGTGATGTTGCGTCACTCTGAACTCCAAGTTGCAAGTATTATATACGAAACAGAGTCAATTAGTAATTATTCTTCTAAAACTGTCCATGTATCTAAGTTATACTGTCTTCTCGTAAGGTAGTGAAATATCGATAGCTACCGCTCTTATTTTGGTATTTTGTTTAACATCAGCATTATCTTGGCGATAACGAAAACTGTTGCTCGCCAGGTTCTGCTTGTGGACTGTGGGGAGCTGGTGAGCGTTCAGGCCTCATCGCTGCGGGAGTTGCAGGCTCCTCTGGCGGCCATCAAGCCCATGGCATTCCTTGCCTCGTTGCATGACATCGTGGCGCCGGGCGATCAGCAAGTAATTAACTAATTCCTCCGTCATTGTTCATTAATTAGTCATTAAGTAATATCCATCTTCGTGTCAGGTATTTAACCAAAGATATTAAAGCAAATTCAGTATTCTTCTCCTCTACTTATCCTGTGACAATAAAAAAAAAAAAAAAACGATCACAGTCATTTCTGAATGTTGTCTTTTTTTATCAAAGTAATTTTGGTAATTATCAAACTTTGCTTTATTCAGCAGTGAAATAAAAAAGCTCGATTACAATAACTTTACACTTTATTATTTCTTTATCTCCCGATAGAAGTGGCCGTGTACCACCACAGACGCTCTGAAGGACATCCTGTCGTCAGTGTCGAGCCTCTTCGTCCTGAAGCAGGTATTGCTGCTCACTGCCTCTCTCTAACATAATACAACTTTCAACTTCCATGCTTTGATATATTCACAATTTTTCTTTGTCGAATTTTGACTCATTACATGACTCCTTTATTACTACTGTTTGGCCATATTTAAAATTTATTTAGTGTTTTAAATACGAAGTTATCGATATGTTTCTAAATTTTCTTTGTGAAATGTAGCAAAGAGATCCCGTTTCTTGTCGTTATATCGACTAGGGGTTTTTATTTTGCAAGAAAAGAGCTTGATAGGTGACTTATCTCGATTAAGCGTGATCAGCACTTGCATTTGATGCTGTATAGAGCGATGACCAAATATGTCTCGGCAGGGAAGTAGCTCAAGATGCACTGAGCTCTATCGGCTCAAAGTGATTCCCGTGTCGCTGTGGTACTCCGCGTCGGTCATCTCTGGGGACCCTGGCCCTCCCAACGCGGCTGCCGTCACTCACCGCATCTCCGTCAGCCAGCAGCTGCTGCAAGCTGGCCTCGCACTCCGCCTTAGGTTCTTTTGCCTTATACAATATCTCCTGAGTTGTGTATTCTGATTGATGTTAGGTTCTTTTGCCTTATACAATATCTCCTGAGTTGTGTATTCTGATTGATGTTAGGTTCTTTTGCATTAAACAATATCTCCTGAGTTGTGTGTTCTGATTGATGGTCTGGGGAAAATCGGTTGCCATGCGTTGTCAGTTTAAGTGCAATAGCCGTTGAAATGCGCGTGTCTTTTTTAAAGCGTTTTCATAAAGTATGTTCTTGAGAAAACGAAACCCGCTGATACTAAGAGTGTGCACTGACTCCATCTATTTAGCTCTTTATTTATTCTTTGATTCCATATATTTAGCTCTTAATTTATCTCAATTTTGATCAAAAACTTGATAGATAGCATTATTTAACATAGAAAAGATGCGTATTGGCTTTCCCTGGTGATAAATTCTCAGTGGATATTTAGTTTCTAACATTATCCATTATTTTTTTTGTTTTTTATCTTACGTTTTTGTCTTTCAGGACTCATGAAAACGTGAAATCAGCAGATGGAAGCTATGTGGCATCTGTCATTGACTGCAACGAGATGGAGACGAAGAATCCTTTTTCACCTCTTGAGTGCGGAGCAGTTGGCGTGGGCAGTGCTGATCCAAATGACTGCGTGTTGCCGGAGTCAAAACAGGTGGACGATCAAATGAAAAATGGAGCTGGAGGATCTTTCGAGGAAGAATTTGACTCATTTCTAAGAGACCAGCGCTTTGAAAACAAGGGCTCTGTTAATAATACTCAGGCCAATGATATAAATTCTGAAAAACGTGGAAATGAGGAAGCTAAGTCTTCTTCTAGCCAACTCGATCTGGTTCCAAAAGCCAATAATCTTTCCGATATGTTTTCTCACTCGCATCAAAATTCGTTCCGTCATGATCTGCAAATAAAGAAGGGAAAAAGTTCCTCTTATCCACACAGAACTTCAGTATCTCTGAGGTACGACCATGAAATTTCTGAAGAGTCAAGTCGAAACGCAGAAAATCGCGCAGACGTTTCTTTGTACTCCGAATCGAACGAACCCCTAGACACGACACCAACCGCGGTGCATGATGTCCAGGAATATTTTCGTGATGGAAAATCTTCTGACCGAAATGAGGGTGCACTTTCGAGTAAATTTCAGTGGCTCCCTAATCCTGATCGCTTGTCAGGCAGTTTCTCGGCCATCCCGACGTACGTAGATGTTTTTGGACGCATCCATCTGCATCCCGTAAAAAGTAAGTTCAATTAAGAAAGCTTAATCTAGCCTTCCAGTGGAAAGTAGGTTTAATTTATAGTATAAAATGCTTTTTCCAAGAATTCACGTAAAAACCTTTGAATAGGAATATGTTTGTTGTCTGTTGATTTTTGAAATTTAATATAAAATAAACGTAAAAAGTAAGTACAATGGAGTTTCAGAGCGTCCGTCAAAGAAAATAATTTCCGGAGATCATTAGCTGAAACGAAAAATTAAAAATTACGATGATGTTTTGATGCTCGAGTTTTCAATAAATTCATCATCGTCTTGTCTCCAATTTTACTAGGAGTCTAATAATGATAAAGTACGCATTAATGTGCGGTAAGCTCACTACTTGGTTTCAAATGGACTTAGCCGTTAGCACTGTTGGTATATCACGCTTTGAAGCTTTCTTTAAACATTAATTTACAATGGAGCGCAAAGCGACATGGCGGTTTTATTTTACTATTGAAATTAAAAATGACAATTTACAGTGATATGTACTTTTTATTGTGAATTGCAACATGCTTAATATTCTTTTCGCCTATTTGTCTTTAGGCTCGACTTTTCTATGTCCTGACCTGATATAAAAAAGCGTACGTATTTCCTCGTGTTCAATGCTGCAGGTGAGCATTGCTTGGAGTTACTTCGGGACACTCTACTCACGCATTTCCGTCACTCTTTTCCTGAAATGGCGAGTGTCAGCCAAAGCAATCTCAAGTGTGGTGACGACCTTGTCGCCCGCTACGAGTCTGACTACTCCTGGAACCGGTGTACAATAGTTGAGGTGATTACAATTCTATAATTGGTCTCGTCACAGTGATTGTGCATGATCTAGGTTCAGCGTTGTTATGGCTAGCTATTGGTTTAGCCTTTTTAGCCATTTTAGTTCAAGCTTCTCACCGTTTCTTGAGAGAATTGTGTGCAGTGTGCATTTTTTGCGGCTATTTTTAGTGCATTTTTTCTAGATTATGAACGACGTTGAAGTTGAGGTGCTATTTGTGGACTACGGCAACAAGGAGGTGGTGAATGTGAAGAACCTTCGCAGGACCCAACTGTTCGCCAACCTGCCCATCCAGCGACACGTCTGTACGCTTGCAGACGTTGAACCTGTAAGCAACACGCGTCATTAAATCTTTTGTAACTTCACACTATGATAATATTATTTTATAATATAACACCTATGCCCAGTACAATATTAACTCAGTACTTAACACCCTAAATTTCTGGACATCGGGAGGTCACTATGCGATCGGGATATTATGCGTGGAATTTCGATTTTGGGTTGTAAAATGTTGTTTTGTTTAAAGATAATTTTTGTAGCCTTATTTACGACTAACCTTAACCACGTTAACGAAGGCATGCTCATGAGCACGACATTCTTGTTGTGCCGTGATCAACTTGGAGTATATCCATTATCTTTTTAAAACGTAACGGGTACGATTCAATGCTCAGTTAAACATGCGCATTCATAATTCGAAGCCCTTCTGCAGTAGGTTCTTGATTTTCTAATATTACGAGCCTTTTCATAATATCGGATCTCTTGCCTCATGAGCTCCGTGCATGACATACCGCCAGTCCTCGCAACTGTGTCTTCAAATATTATTCCGATCCGCTTTCATTGAGCCACTTTCGTTGACCAGCCCTCATTAGGATCTGATTGATCACCTCGGCTGCGATGTATCCCCACGCTTCCAGAGGTCTCTGATACATCAATAATGATCTTGATGCTCTACGGTCCTATACCCATTATTCAAAAAACGCTATGCTATGCCCCATTCCTTGGAAAAGCCATGCTTTACCCTCGTTCCTTGAAAATGCTAAACTTTAGCCCTATTTCTAACAAGGCTCTGCTCTACCCCATTCCTGTAAAAGGGTTATTATGTACTTCTATTGCGAAATTGGCTTATGATGTACCTCAATTGCTCAAGAGCGCTATGATATATTCTCAATCCTCGAATGAGCTTTGTGAATTGCTCCGTTATACTAAAAGAGCCATGAAATTAGTACCATTCATCAAAAGGGCTATGATCTAACCGCATGCATTTATTAGGGGCTATTAAATACGCTAAGACTTTTATAGGGGTATTTGCACAGACGTCTGCTTTCCCCCAGTCTCTGATATATCATTGATATGCCTTTTGACTGCACTGTTCTGGATTTTCATTGTATTTTTGTGCACCATTGGACGTCCGTGGACACCGTAACACGAACCTGAAAATTTATTAAATCTGCAATCGTTGACGTTGCAGGACAATCCTTTGGGCAAGTGGGAGAAGACTGTGCTGGACTCCCTACATGTCTACGTCGTGGAAAAGACTTGTCGTGTTACAGTTGTTTCCGACTATGACACTCGGACCGATTTTGCTCAAGTAAGTTTATGCTTACGTGTTCTATGCCTGTTATTTAGAATTCCATGTGATTTTTAAAAATTGTTTTATCATCTAGTTCGAGTTGAGGGGAAAATTATCATGAATATTCTTAATAGATCGATCTGGTGGTGGAGCATACGAATTCGAGTGTGAGCAACTGGCTTGTGCAAGGTATCAAGAAGTGCAGATGGTCGATACAATCCAGCGTTGGAGCAAGCAGTGGCCGTAAGAAGAAGAGAAACAAGGGAAGAAACACCGGTGTCGTGGCTGCTCAATCCCGCCCCTGCAATTCTGCCCTCATCCAAATGCAAATGAGAGATGCTTCGTACTCAGCCGTGAGTCATTTGGTGTTGGATGACCTCATAATTCAGTATGTGCCTTTAAATAAACCGTATTGTATGGTTTGACCGTATGTAGTATTCAATGTTCATTGCTCTTCGGAATAAGTATATTAATTTGATGGTAGATATGTCGGATTCAGTCTTATTCAGTCTTATTCGAGTTCCGACTGAGTGGTAGTTTTAAACTATGATGAGGATTATTGGCCACCAAAACTTGTTGAGTTATTAGAACTTTGAACTTAATCATCAGGCATCTAATTCATGTCACATGTATTCATCCTAGGCTTAGACGTTACTCCCCAAGTTTCGCTGTATGCAAACCTAATCTAAGAATTGGCAGATGGGGCTTTCTGGACGATCTGATGAATTCTCGGATAAGGCTCCTCCCGCTGTGGAATTGCCCCCTCTACCCCTGCCATCTTGCGGCATCATCTTTCCTGTGCATGTATCGGCCTTCGTCAAGCCTGACTCCGTATACATCATAATGAATTTCCCGGACTTGGCTAAACCTCCCAATGACCCCGACTATGTTGAAGCTGTCTGTGCGATATTAAGCAACGGTCCTCCCCCACATGCTTGCCCTTACGAGAAGGTGGAAGACGGCAAATCTGACTTTTGCTTGGTTTGCGTTCAGTTTGAGCAAGCCATACAGCAGAAATATTTCCTGCTGTATCAACTCGCGTCAAATCTGCAACTCAACGCCGTACGGCTTCCCGCTGTAACTCGACCGGCTGCAGGTTTGGAAGAATTTTAGTAATTCTTTGTCAGGTTGACTTGATGCCATTCTGATACACAGTTCTAGTTTTCAAGAAAATAAAAGATTTTTTTTCCTTAAAGGAAGAATTATTTGTGGTTTGAGTAATATCGTCGTTTGAGGAAATTGGGATTTAAATTGCACTTTAGTTGAATTTTTGAAAGTTGATTCCTAATTAAAATTGTTTGGTTGGTAACTTTTCATAATTTGATATTTTAGCGTTACAGTGTTTCATGTTTACTCATTTGTTATATTTATTTATTAAGTGGTCTCAATTTTTTTTGCATTCAATGCGGTGCACAATTATTAATCTGCAGTTTTTTTCTTTTCAAAACATAATTTGCTGTCTTAGAATCCCTGTCAAGATATAAGTAATTTTTAATATTTATTTCATGTGATCGTCGATTTACGCCTAACTTCAAGTCGCGAAATAAGCGTTCAATGCGTCTTTTTCTAGCTTCTGGTTCAAAGAAAAATTTTTTGTTTACCGCATAGAATCTGAATTTCCCAGAGACGGTAAATTTTTGAGACGGACTACATAATATGAATAACTTGCTACTTTTTGTTCATTTTTGAAGAATTGGTGGTTGTTCGTTCAGTCTCGTTGAATTTTAAAAACTTTGTATTTCATTTTCTTTTGGTATTTTGTGATAATTGTCGTTACTTGTGAAAGGATAAGAATGATAACTTTAATGACGAACTGTATCTGAATAATTTAAATCAACTATTTGCGTTGTAGGTCACATTTGCTTGGCGTATATTAGCCACTCTGAGAAGTGGCAGCGCTGCCAGATTCTTGCCGCTGTGGACATCGAGGAGCTGCAACCTGATCAGCTCCGAGAAAACGAAATCAGCCCAACGGAAGAGTCGCCACTCTTCAGGGTCTTCTTACTCGACTTCGGCTCTGATGTCATTGTCCCTCTAGCTCAGTATGTCATGAGCACAGCCTCACTCACAAGCCTATCAATATAATATTACTCTTTATAGAAAATATACAGAATAATGGAGAATCTGCTGCTGGCTGGGTCTGCATTCTTCTCGGTTAATCACAGATACTTGACTTAAACTATCGTCTGCGCGCGTTTGTTACACTTTGAATCGCTTCATTTTTATTACTATTATTTTTTCACATAATAGATTATACTAAAGACCTCTTATTTCGAAGTCTTTTGTTTGCGCATGCCTATTTATTACATAAATCTTGCACCAGTTACAAGCACGTCATATATTTTCTCCATAGTTCTAGTCCATAATCTAATTAGTGATGGTTTTTAGTGGATGGTGATGGGATTCTTGCTATGCTTATTTATTTAAATAACATGTGTCGCGTATAACAATCAAGTTTTTGTAAACACATTATTGCATCAATTACCATTGTCGGTAAATTCTCAATTATAGAATGCGTGTGCTGCCGCGGGAGTTAGCCGACATCCCTGCCCAAGCTATTTGTGTGCGTCTTCACGGAATAAGCAACGGTGCTGGCCCAGACGAGCCCTGGGACTACGAAACCTCGAAAAAGATGATAGAGACAATCTTTCCAGCTTGTTTGCCTCCCATTTATGCCATCATCGTCAGTAAGGTGACAAAGCTAACGTAAATACTGTACCTTGAATGTGACAGCAAAATGTGTTAATCAGCTGTGCAAACTTGCGATGTGTTAGCTTCAAAAAAAATTTATCGATTAGATCTAGAAACCTAAACTTTATTACTGTTACTTTGTGTCACTTATGGGCTTGGATATCTTGAATAACATGGATCATTAAAATGCATTGACGGTTATTTTCGTTCTTGGCTTTCTCTAGGGATAGCACGCGGATGTTTGTGGTTAAATATGAATGAAACCTATATAAAATTTTCGTCTGGGCAGCCTGCTGACAGTCCTATAGAGGTGGAGCTGTACCAGTCCTCATCCCAGCACTTCGACCCAAGAAATCTAAGCCTCGTCTACCAGCCTCTCATTGACGCTGGTCTTCTCGCTTACCATCCTGGTCGTGCTGAGCAGCTTGGCACTCCCAACTCCAATCACTGAATTCGTCTTCTTGCCACCGCCCTGCTGACTATAGTCATACATAAAATTGGATTCTTTGACGGCGGCTTTTGAACTTTGCTTCTATTAATTTTTGAAATAACTTTAAGAATAATAGTTTTAGCTAGGCACAGGGACCAAATGTCCTGCCTCTTTTTCTGCTGTGAAGACGTAAGGTTCCACATGCAATTTTTGTGGAAGATCGAGTTTGCCTTAGTTGGTGTAATTGTTTCACCTTCATCATCTTGAGAGTATGACTGTTGACTGCAGAGTTCGTCCACGACTGTCAATTAGGTGACAGTGGTAATCATGAAAGCGGCGTATGATCATTTCTGACGAGCACGAAGAGTGTTAGTATTTAGTACATTTGGGAATAATTCAGACTTGATGCACTCGAGTATGACTGGTAAACCCTTATGATTTTGAGTACAAATGGTACCCACTTGAAATGTTATGGTTCATTTAGGTAGCAGTTGTCCTGAGAACAACGTTGCGCATTTAGACTGCTGGAGTTTTGAGCACAACTGGCACAAGCGGGCGACTGATATCTTGGGTGCCACGACCGGCCGGCGCTCCAGCAGCCTTTGGACCTAGCGCACAGCTGACACTTCAGTGTTTCGGAAACACAACAGTTGGTCCTGACGGTTACTAAAGAATGATCTCTGCCTCTCAATTTGTTTTCTCGGTTATTACTCTTTAGCTAAGTTTGTTTTTCGCTAATGAATTTGTTGTTTCTTTGTGATTCATATCACTAAATAAGGATATTTTGTGTTCTTTGATTAAGAAAGGAATACCTATTGCATCCACTGATGCATCTCTGCCTCATTTTTTTTTCTAAACGCATATATGAAACTTTTTCTTTAGGTGTTGAACAGCCGCTGAACACTAAAAAACTCACTCTGGGTGACGCTTCCTGGAATACAGGATATATTTTCTGAAGAAATTACTCGTCAACTTCAATTTCTTGGATTTTTTCAGTTGAACCTATTGCAGGGCCTTAATTTTTGCTTTGAAAGGATTTTGACGTAGGCATCGATCGATTATGTTTGATTGTTCAATGCAGTGACGTGTTAATTTTAGAAAGCTCACGATGTCTTCTATTGTTTAATGCAGTAATGGATTAAATTTAGAAAGCACACATTGTTGTCTGTTTTACCTGTGAATCTACATAATATACAATTTATTCACTTGACTGTGAATACTCTGTAAATCGTCCGAACCTTAGAGTGGAAGTTCTTGTTTAAGAAGAATTGAAAATTATTTGTGAACGTTATTGACAAAGATGTTGTTTTGCTTACTAGATTAGATCACTATTGCCGCAGAATTGAGATTTCTCGAAACGGAATGATGAACTTCAGCACCTGATGATGCATTATTTAAATTTTGGCGGTAGAACGTGAAATGGCTTAAATTTCATGTCCTAAGTGAATTACGCTAAATGGAAGTGCTATGTGTTCGGCATTACCGCTAGGGACAACAGATGTGCATGCCGTACGACTGTGTTCAGGTGTGCTGGCCACTGACAGTTCACTCGCTCCGTTCGTCAGGCGCTCAGTGTATTGCTTGCCGGGTTGAGGGCGGGTGGCAGTGTTGTGCTCTTAAACGACATGAGCACTCTTCTCAAGTGAAACTTGTGCAGTGACCATGTGCCGAGCTATGTAATTATGGTGAAGTTATTGTGTGAATAGTGCCCTTTGGATTTTCACAATCAACTCGTCTTTGAAGAGAGGTGAGGTTCACACGGAGGTCGCAATTCCATGCTATCCGGAGCCAGCAGTCCGCTCGTAGTTGCTCTTGCAGGTACAACATGAGCCGTGTTACAGTCTGGAGTAAGCCGGTCGCATTCGCCGTAACAGTCAATAATTAGCTATTTATTCAAACTTCGATTTTTTTATCGTCACGATACTCCTAAAATGATGCGGCAGAGAAATTTTAATGTGTCGATAGTATCACCACATGGATCAACTTGTTAACTTTTTTCATCAACATCGACAAATTCAATATCAACTTTTCGGCGATTCTTTTCTGAGCGTGTAGACGTTTGAGTTTCAATTACGGTACTTGATATTTTCTGTTAGGGGCCTATTTTTATCCATTATATTTTTTAACCTTTCCTTGCGTCAACTGCAAGACGCATAAATTTAGGTAGTGTGCATAAATTTAGCTAGTAGTATGGTTTGTGTAAATAAACTTTAAAAATAGATGAGGCTGCGCAGTGCTGCTACGTGCATGATGTTTGCATACAGGGTTGCACACCTCGGCGCATGATGTGAGAGTAAGATGTCCAAAACCTGAAACTTTTTCTAAATGAACATCTGTATTAAGTAATGGAACATTATGCTATTTTTTCTCCTTATAACTTTGCTCTAGGTTAGCATTTTACCGATCACTTGAATCCATTCAAGCCACTCATTCAAATGAAAAAGCCTGACTAAATGTGTTGCTAGATTAACTATCTTCCACAGAGTTATTATCGTTATGTTATTTTTCCTCAAATAAAATAAAATCATTTTGTAAAATGATGCCACATTGGAATCGGCAAACTGATATATTTTAATTACTATTTCTTGTCATCAAGGATGAAGCAAAACATTGGTGGTGTTTTCTTTAAGGAACAGTGCCAATGCAAGACATGTTAAATGAAAATTCGCAAAAATGAACGCCTATGTCCAATTGCTACCAACTTATGAGACAGGTACCCACACTATGTCAGATGTGGTTAAAAGCGCTAAATGAACAAGTATTCGTTAAACTCGATTGAAAATGATTAGGCAATCTAAGTTTTTCTGTGCACCTACACGTATAAAAAACGAACTTTACGAAAGCCCAAACGGAATACTGCAGATGATACGCAGTCTCTAGGGTTAAAACTTCACGTTATTTAAAAAAAAACGTTACTAATAATCCAGACAAGACCGACCGTGGTCAGAGATAGAGAAGAGCGGCTGTGTAGGGGAGCTATAACGGCCTCCGTGTGGGCGATGCTGGCAGCCTGGTTCTCACTGACCGCAGGCTGCATGAACTTCTAGACGTCTGTTCTTTTGCATCTTCTCACGTTCTCCTCTTGGCTCGACACTGCCTTATCTTCCAGCTTTAGCGGTGCTTTCATATGCGCTTGAAAAGATTTTTAATAAACAAAGATAGAATTGGCTTATTTATGGTCTCAGTGGTCTTCTGTCTGTCCTAGCTGTCCACATACGAATGCAAATTAATTTTTTTCCCCGTGACAGGAGCTTTATTTTCGGTTGCTGTTTTGCTGGTTTTTCACTTTCTTAAACTGAACACGTGATTTTCCACATTGATTTTCATCTGTGAAGCTTTTCTAATTTTTTTTTCATTAAAAACTGGTCGTGCTTTATTGAAGACTTTATCTTGCTGCCGTTGATTCTTGCAATAAATTGTTGTATTAAAGAACTCTATATAAAATTTTCGCAATCTCATATTTTTTTTATTGTTCACCGGCTAATGATTTTGCCCCTGGCAGCTGAGCTCGACGTTACTCTCTCATTCATTTCATTCGTTATTAACATTTGATTTCTCTTTGAGAATTTATTACTTAGAAAATCTCAAGAGTATTAACGATGTTTTTATTAAAATCTTTCGGAAACTTGCTGCTCCTTCAAAAATGGGCCATTTAATTGTGCTTAACTTGTGCTTTTAACAGTGTTTCAAATGGGTCAATGGTTAAAACAATTGGTTGAAATTGGCCCCGAAAATCGGTTAATTTGGTGAGCATTTTCTTGCCTCTATAAGTTCTTGGTTAATTTGCGTTACAAGTAAAGTTTAGTTAATAAGTTATTTTTTTAAGCTGTACTAATCGCCTATTCTGTTGAATGTGTGAGACTGTTCGGTAATTCAATTTTAGTAGGAGTATTAATATTGTAGCGTTTACTTAATCTAGAAAACTTTCACTTGATGGAGAAAAATCTTGACTCGAGCCAGTTTTTCCGCCGAAATGACAAGTTTAAACGCTCACCGCTAAACCGTATAGCCTAAGATTGCACGGTTACGCAGACCTTGTCTAAACCACTCCACCTTCATGTCAGGATCTGCTGCTACTTGCTGCTTAACATCTCGTACAAACGTTTTCTTTGTCGATGTGAAAGATGAACAATCGAAATGAGTAGTATCTTATTGAAAACTGCGATCGGTCAGATTTACACTTATTATACATGTATTTGAATGCGTTTTTAATCAAATTGCTTTGGGGATTTCTCGTGACGGCTGTGGAATTGAGTATTTTCACATAAACAGGAAATTTTCAATAGGATTCAATTGAATTAAATTCAATTTCAATTGGCCAAATTCTTAAATTTTTCTAATTGCATAAAACAGACGTTAGTATTTTTATTATTATATGAAAATAATTTTATTTTAAAATTATGATGGAAAAATGTATCGTATCTAACGTATCAAGAAATTAAAAAAAAATTTTCATTATATAAAATGATGTCCTTCCTATCCCTGTTATTCTAAATTTTACACAGCTTATTTCTAAGCATAAATGAGTCTTGGATTTAACCTGTCAAAGATTAGGTACTCCATGAACTCGGATCGCAAAAACTAGCAGACACGTACCTACGGTGCTGTGCCTGTTATAAGGAACTTGAATCGGTCCCGTCGAATGCAATTGCAACTTGGTATTGTTTTTCATTTCATGTTTAAGCAGTTGTAGGTTTAGCTATCCACCGAGCAAGTAATCCCGATTCTTGCTTCACTATCTGCAACTCATCAGGGGCTGGATGATGAGCAGCAATGTCTGCTCATCGCTCGACATTATTTTCTTACGTCAGTGCACACATGACACAATTCTAAAACAAACCTGTTTTACGGCTTTCTTTAATAAAAGATAAGACTGTATAACTCAGTAACACTGTCTATGAAATTCTCAATATTACTGGATTCGAAATAATTTTTTAGTTACCTTTTCGATTTTACGACTATTGGCCGTCAGGGCACAACTTTAGATCTGTGCAATAAAGACAAAACAATCACGTTGAATCGGCTACGAACACTTCATCGTAAACCATATTTGACTAATACAAATACAATTTCTTGATGTTGGGGTTATAAGTGAAAAATTGAATTCCTTAAATTCGATGACTAATTAAACTAAAACGTTGTTTTTCAACTACTAAATCAACGAGGATAATGCTACTTACATTTTAAAGATGAATATAACAGTTATTGAAGTAATAGCACGCAACTTTTGAGTTTAAAAGTATTAATAATAAACGCGTAAACTGTGGGCGAGCAGAAACAACTAACTCCTCATCAGCCATGCACTGAGAATGCAGCTAAATAAACGGACGTTGATGCATAGAATTTGATTGCTGATGTCTAAGGCCTATTCCTCATCATAACCATGGAAAATATATACTATCTAGATCATCGTAAGTGTCCGGAAAAAATATTTTGCTCCGGGTAACTGTGGAACTATTTTATGGAATAATTTGCCACCGTATTTTTGATAACATGATTATCGTGGTTCGAACGGTTATTAGCTTCCTATGCTAGCAGATCATCTGTAGCAAAACTTTGTAAATCCTGTCATGCATTTCATTGATTGAATTGAACAAGAATTTCAAATAGTTGACACTTAACTGACAGTAGAAGATGCAAACAATTTGTGAGTGCGGTTTTTCTCTTTAATTTAAATCGAACTCTGAGAGCTCAGTAGAAGAATGTAGATCAGAGCGGAATCCATTCAATGTTGCTTTCTGCGATCATTTGTTCATGATGTCCTTGCTATTTTGAATTTGAGGATCTCTGTTTACGTTTATGAAACGCGGGAATGACCTCTAGGTCCTTTTGATTTTTAGTCTAGCTATGTTCAACCATTGAACAGGATCCCAGTATAAGTCTGCATACCTGAGCTGCTGCATAGGCGTTCCAGGATTGTACGAAGAGCCTCGCAGCGACGCTAGCGTGAGGGGTGGGGAGCTGTCGCCCCGCTCCGCTGACCGCAGCCGCTGCTCCGTTACGCACCGCCCCAGGGAGGCAGGGAGTCGGGGGCTGGAAGATGAGTGTGTTGAGGACGCAGCAATTTTTAGGTTAAGCTTCATGAGCGTCTTAGCTTTTGCTGATGTTCCTCCCTGAACTGTGTCACAGATTTCGGTCATTTGTGCTGCGCTCGAT